AGATATTTTTGATTGGAGGCACTTCATGGATGTTCTAAGAGATGATATCGAAATTGTCGAGAACGTGCCTCGTCGGTTGGCATCGGTCAAGCCCTTTGTGAAGGCTCCAGTTTCCTGGTCCAAGGTTTAAGAAAACATTGATTTTTATGTGTGAATCATGATTCTTCGATGTTTATGTTTGGGTTTTAGTTCTCACAATCTATTCAAATGCAGTCTAGATATTACCGAGGAGAGATGCTACATTTGTTAAAGAGACACAAAGTGTTAATGCTCACGCATACTGATTCTCGCATAGTCAATAATGGTTTGCCATCTTACATTCAAAAGCTTCGATGCCGTGCCAATTACAAGGCTCTACGGTTTAGCAAGGAGATTGAGGAGCTTGGGAAGATCTTAGTTGATAGATTAAGAAAGGGTGATGAACCATATATTGCTCTCCATCTCAGGTATGAGAAAGATATGCTTGCATTCACTGGCTGCAGCCACAACTTGACAGCAAAGGAAGAGGAGGAGCTCAAAGTTATGCGATACAATGTCAAGCATTGGAAGGAGAAAGAGATAGATGCAAAAGGAAAGAGAATTCTAGGGGGATGCCCAATGACCCCTCTGGAGGCAGCCCTGTTGCTTAAAGCCTTAGGATACCCTTCCAAAACTAAAATCTACATTGTTGCCGGGGAGATTTATGGCAGCGATAGCATGAACGCCTTTCGATCGGAATACCCCAACGTCTTTTCACATTCGACTCTTGCAACAGAGAAGGAATTGGAGCCATTTAAGCTGTACCAGAATCGGATGGCTGCCTTGGATTATATCGTGGCAGTAGAGAGCGATGTGTTTGTTTATACCTATGATGGAAACATGGCTAAAGCAGTGCAGGGTCATAGGATGTTTGAAGGATACAGAAAGACAATAAATCCCGACAGGTTTGTTCTCAACCGATGTCGCTTGTTGTCGGTTGGATTGTGACTGCTTACTGAGTCTAAATATCAATATACATTCATCTTTTCAGGCAAAATCTAGTCAGGTTGGTTGATCACTTGGAGAATGAGGCCATCTCCTGGGAAAAATTCTCCAAAGAAGTGAAGGAGTTGCATAAAGACAGACTTGGTGCTCCACATTTCAGACAAGCCGGAGAGAGTCCCAGACTAGAGGAGAACTTTTATGCTAATCCTTACCCTGGCTGTCTTTGCAACAAGCCTCGTAATCGAACATTCAAACTAAAAGATGAACACAAACGAAGTCTTCAGGCTTCACTGCAGAGATAAAATTATAATTTTACTACAACCCAGTTGGCTTCTTCTGCCCAGGGCACCACGGCTGTTATGGCTCCTCAAATTTGACTGCCATTGTTCGAGCCACGAGTTCGATACATAGCCGGATGAATCATACCGAGGTTTCTCTGGCGGCTTCCTTTAGCTTCGAAAGCAGAAGCGCAAAATTTTCACCACTTTTAGGTAAATTCATGGAGGATAGGATTGTGGTAGATGAGTTAGAGTCAGTTCAGATGTAGTTCTTCTTATGACAGTAAATCAGGCTAGTTTTATACAGACAGCTTCCCTATCATAGTGGAGAAAAGTTATTCTTTACATTCGTTATTCTTTGCTTTATTATCATCCCCCCTTGATTCATAATGTAAACATTTGGAAAAGAAAAGGTAAATTAATTGTCATTTCTTCCATGATTCTCACTTTTTTTTGTTCATGTTGATAACACCTTTTACTCTAATGTCTAGTCCAAGTCCAGCAATGGAATGTTGTTCTATAACTCAAAAACTGAGAAAAAAAAGCAAACCCAATACAGCTACTACCACATTGATGGAACAAAAACCTGTTCTTTCAGATTCTGTGTTGCACTTTCAGTAGGAAATCCCCTGACTGCACCAATTGTCCATTGAGAAATGATCCCTGCTGCGATTGCGAATCGAAGCTGCCGTTCCAGAACATCTTGGTTTTCAAACATCTCCGGGAAAGTAGTAAGCTTTCTCATGATCCCAGCCACAAGAGCATCACCAGAACCAGTCCTGTCGCAGGTGAATGGTGTTATGAGCACATCTTCTGTACCGATCACCACGCCGTGAAACGAAGGAGAATAGTAATGAATCCGCAATGTTCCATCCGTTACGAGCAACAACTTGAGATGATCATGCCACAACGGCGATATCTCTTCCGGTGAGTAATGGTAATGGTCTCGGCGATTCTTGGTTTGTTCAATAGTTTGAGCATAGTATTGAGGCCTGTAGTTTCTTTTCTTTTCGTAGTATTCTTCATCTAACAGAAACTCCAATTCTTGCCTTGACACCTCGATAATGTCAGCTTGATTCCAGGCTTTCTCGATGCATTTTCGAGTTTCGTCGCGCGATCTCCACAAAGGAAGCGACAAATTTAAATCGAAGAAGATGAGCCCGCCAAACTTCTTGGACAATTGGATTGCCTTGAAGAGCGTTGCTTCCATTGTAGTGGATAACAATGCTTCTGAATTGAAATGGAATATCCTAGCCTGCAATGAAACAAACAAAATTTATCTTCTTCCATGAAACAACCAGTTTGAAGTGAATGGCCGCTGGGTATTTACCTCTTTGAGCACTGCAAGGTTCAGTTCAGAGCTAACCAGAGAATCCTCAGCTGATTCCTTCACCGTTTCCATCTTCAACTTTCCATCATCAAATTTGATCTTCATGTAAGTACAGGCCGTTCTAGAATTCAAATCAAACTTCACACCTCGAGTCTGTACCTTCTCTTTGTTCATCATCAACACCAGCTCGTCCCCAAAATCATCCTTCCCAACTTTCCCCATAAACGCAGCTCGTCCGCCGAGCCTGACGTGAGATATAGCCACATTCGACGGAGATCCCCCCGGTGCCCTAGCGAACTCCGGCGGGTCCCATTGGAGCATTTTCCACTCCGAGTACTTATCTGGATGCATCTGGTTATCGTGTACGCGAATTGACGGCACAAATTCTTTCTGAGCCGCGCCGAAGCAGCAGATCAATGGCGGATCTTCGTATGGGAAGTCCATTCCATCGTCGTAATTTTCTGCTATTGAATCGATTGCCTCGTCGTCGTCTACCGACATTTGATCAAATAGGTTCCCTTGTGTGAGTTCGTCTTCGATGAGGGTTTTCCTACTACGCTTTGTAGAAGACGATGGAGATTTAGTCCCTTTTTTTCTCCCTCGGCGAGTGGGGGTGGGCGTTCCAGTATCCTCATTCCCGTCGGCATTTGAAGCACTTGGTGGGCTGAGTTTCAGAGATTTACACGAACTCTGCAAATAACGCGAATTGAAAATCAGAGTTTTCTCTCTGCAAATTGATGGGTAGAAATGAAGAAAACGGGAAAATTGAAGATGTGGAATAGAAAAGGTTGCAGGAAGAAGCTGAAATGAAGCCATGGATGCTTCAATTTTAGGGTTTATCCATATTTTTATCTTCAAACCCAAAACCCCAAGACGAAGTTACTGCCGCGTCGGCTGTCTTTTTCTCGTTAAATATAAAAGAAAACTGTCGAAGCGATCATCCGACGGCTATAATTTCACTTGTTCATCTCATAATCTCAGTCAACCGCTCGATTAAAGCGATCATCGCCTCCAATTCCCTTCTATTCTCAAGAGCTGAAACAAATCCCAATCGCTTGCTCAGAAAATCGTCGAACGAAAGGTGAGAAAACAAGAAGCTGTATTCGATCATCTTCAGTTTCGATTTCATTTCTGGATTCCAAACTCGTAAAGATTCAAAGTCTTCTCCGTTTTCGAACACGCAGATATGCTATTCTGGGCTTTTTTAGAAGGGCTTCTGCTGTTCGCAAACGCCTTCGCAATCCTAAACGAGGATCGATTCCTTGCTCGGAGAGGATGGACGCTGGCGGATATGCCGAGAGAAGGAAGAAACTCACTCAAAGCGCAGGTAATAGGACTCATCCATGCTTGCCAGTTCTTGAGACTTCCACTCATTCTTTTCAACATCATCACCATCATCATTAAGCTTCTCTCTGGCTGATTTCAGTATAGAAAGTGATAGAGATTCCTGTAAATTATTGTGTATTGTTGAAGCATTTCATAGTTTCATTCGTTGTATGTAATCGATCGTCAACTGGTAATATGCTTGTTTGTTCTTGATTTTAGCTTCCTGTTTGTGTTCTTTGAAGCTTACAGATCAATCATGTTTTGAAAAAATCTTTGGATTAAAGAACAGAAACTGATAGAGAAGATCAGAGTAATCCAGTAATCTTAGTTCGTGTTTATATCCTGCCAACACAAAATTCTCAATATGTCGATCTTTTTTCGGTCATTTTATACTCAAGATCACTTTCATTCGAATATAGTCTCGATTTATTTATGTACCTCTTGCTTGTTTACAGTGACATTTTACTTAGAGCAATGGACAAACTTTGTTATTATTTGTAGAGATAGTCTTCACTATGAGAAACAATAAGTAACGCGACCATGTCGTAGGGGATAAAGAAAAATGTCTGCACGAGGTCATTCAATATAGAATTGGTCCTATCAAAATACATTTAACTATAGAGTTGCTATAAAATGCACTTTGTTGGTATAGACAGTAACTTTTAATTCTTTTAAGAAGATCGCTCTTATTTGAATGTGGTATCAATTCATTCATGTATCACAAATTTATTGGAATGTTACAATTTAAGAGCGTCCAGGACGTTCTTGTACTTGCTCATAACTTCATTTGTACCCGATAAAAGGTGATCATAAAAACATTGTTTCTAGACTGTGTGGGATCTATTAGCAACGAGCTCTTCATACATCTCGAGGCGCCTATCAAAAAAATATTTTGAAGGCTTCGGGATTAAGGTATTGTTAGCTAAAGAAGACATTGGGCAATCCACTTGGTGACAAACGTGTCACGACCAAGACATTGTAAATTGGTCCATAGAAAATGTATAATATTTTATTTTTTAAAATCTAAATAATATTATTTTTAAAAAGGTAATAAATAAAGAGCTAAACCCTGAGGAGCAAATTACACCCCTAACCCTATGGGTGAACCTTATGTAATGCTTTCTTCATCAATCATCACTAACAAATCTCATCAGAGAAGGGTTTTAGGGTTCGCTTCCTTTGCCCGTCGCCCTTCTCTCTGCATACTCGCTTCGTCGTCGTCGTCGGCGGCGGCGGCGGCGTTGTTTTTTTGTTCCGATTAGCTGGTTCTCTCTAACTTATAAGTTATTTATGCTTCTCCTACTCTGTATTTTACTTTTCGCTTTGCCGTTAATCGTATCTTTTCCGGCAGCATTGATGATGAAACACTCTTATTGTTATCCTTGCACTTTGATTTATCGTGAAGAAACTCATGGGGAATAGTGTTCCTGAAATGCTTTTGTTTATTGAAAGAGTCATTAGTTTTCCATTTTGTAGATCAGGCGTTTTTCTGTTCTAACTTCGCGTCTGGATCGATGATGTGATTTTATCTGCGTTATCTATCTGCAATTTCCTTCTAGGAATTGAAGATAAACGAATAGTCTCTGAGATCTGTTTGTTGTCTTCTTCATCTTCTGTAATTTTGGCTGATTGATTTGTTTCTCTATCGGTTTTAGTTGATTTCTGTGAGATTTGGGATTGTTTGCTTGCTTGGTTATGTGATTATACTAATGCAGCCCTTGGATATTAATGGAAAACTGCGTTATCTATCTGTAAGTTCCAATATGGAATTGATGAGATTAGTGATTTCAGAGATCCATCTGCGTTGCCATCATAGTGTATAGTTCAAGGATAGGTTTGATTTCAGATGATCAGCTTTCAGCTTTTCGCCGGTTGGTGACTGATGGGATTTGTTGCCATTTGTGATTGAAACTTGACTTTTTTGGCCAGAATCTATTCTTTTCTCCACCCACCAGATAGCCACATGAAGCTGCTGTGCTGTTGGATGGCTAATTGATGGGTACTGCTGCGATTTTGATATTGAACATTCGAAAAATTACTAATCTATTTTACATTATTTCGGTCTTTGAATATTCTAAAATATTCAAATTTAAAAATGCTAATAACTTTTTTAACTTTTATTTTTGTATCTAATTCTTAAATTGATCTATTGGGTATAAAATGAATGATATATTCTGTTTTGTGTTGAGTTAATTCTTTAATATTGAATAACATGAAAAGTTTAATTAAAAGCTCGTTAATCATTTTTTAAGTTTTCGATCCTATTGGACATATAATTACACTTTCCCATGCTTCTAAGAATGAATCAACCATTTATCTCAAAATAAAATACAGAATTAAAATAAGAAAACCAAAATAAATTTATTAATTATAAAATTAACCTTTTATATTAGAAATAGATCTACGAATAAAATATAGTTTATGCAAATCTAACGTTAATAACTTCTTTAATTTTGTTTCTAAAGTAATTCAGCTCAATTCTACAAAATATAATTCATAACCTCATCACAGTAAATTATTTATTTATTTATTTATTTATTGAAGAACAATTCTCCAACCAGACTTACCGTTGCGTCAATTTCGTAATTTGTTTATTAATAATAAATAAAGTTTGTTAAGAAGTGATTGTTTTTGTTTTTATTATTAGAAAAAATCCTATTTATGTTATTAATTAAAAATAAAAAATAAAAAATAAAAAATGAAAAGAGGAGCAGAAAACGTCCAAAGAAAAATTGAAAGGTGTGGGGCAGCGGGCAGCGAGGCGCGCCTTTAAAATATTACCTATTTTTGTCTCTCAATTATTCTAAATTTAAATAATATATATTTTTTCTTTTTTTTATAAAAGGAGTCCCATTGGTTTTGGTGGATTCCAGCTGTTTCCAGATATTTTTTTCTCTCAAAATTTAAAGACAAGCCAACGGCGTAACGGCAGACCGTTACTTTTACCAAACGCCGTTAGTGCACGTGGCTGTCTTTACCCGCACTTTTTCCCGCTCATTTCTTTTAAATTCCCTTCAATAAATTTTTTTAACCGTTATTTCCTTTTATTTCTATAAAGATCCCCCGTCCCCACTTTACCTTTTAATTTCATCTCTCTCCCATCTCTTCCTCCTCCCACGCTTTCTAGGGTTTTCTGAAACTTTTTCTCTCGGTTCTCAGTTTTCAGCCTCCATTTCTCGTCAATATGCGTGAGATTCTTCACATCCAAGGAGGCCAATGCGGCAACCAGATCGGTGCCAAGTTCTGGGAGGTCGTTTGTGCTGAGCATGGAATCGACTCCATCGGTAAGTACAATGGTACTTCCGATCTACAACTTGACCGGATTAATGTTTACTATAATGAAGCTAGTTGCGGGAGATTTGTTCCTCGCGCGGTGCTTATGGATCTTGAGCCTGGTGTTATGGATAGTATCAGATCTGGACCTTACGGTCAGGTTTTCAGGCCTGATAACTTCGTTTTTGGTCAGTCTGGTGCCGGTAATAACTGGGCTAAAGGACATTATACCGAAGGTGCAGAGCTTATTGATTCCGTCCTTGATGTCGTTCGCAAGGAGGCTGAGAACTGTGACTGTTTGCAAGGTACTTTTACTTTTCTCCCCTCTTTTAGGGTTCGTGTATGTGTTTTGTAGCTTAAGATGGTTTGGATCCGATTTGTAGGGTTTCAGGTGTGCCATTCTTTGGGAGGAGGGACTGGATCTGGAATGGGAACCCTTCTGATTTCCAAGATCAGGGAGGAATACCCTGATAGAATGATGCTTACCTTCTCTGTTTTCCCATCCCCTAAAGTTTCTGATACTGTTGTTGAGCCTTACAACGCAACCCTCTCTGTTCATCAACTAGTTGAAAACGCCGACGAGTGTATGGTACTTGACAACGAAGCTCTCTACGATATTTGCTTCCGTACCCTCAAGCTCTCCACCCCAAGCTGTATGTCTCTTAAATCATAGATCTTACACATCTTGAGTTTCTCTTCATTGTTTTAGATTGTTATCTAATGGTTTCTTTTGTTCTTGGGCAGTCGGTGATCTTAACCATCTCATTTCTGCTACGATGTCCGGTGTTACCTGCTGTTTGCGATTCCCTGGACAGCTTAACTCAGATCTCAGGAAGCTTGCGGTCAATCTTATTCCATTCCCTCGTCTCCACTTTTTCATGGTTGGGTTTGCTCCCCTCACATCCCGTGGATCCCAACAATACAGAGCTCTTACAGTGCCTGAGCTCACTCAGCAAATGTGGGATGCAAAGAACATGATGTGTGCTGCCGATCCTCGACATGGTCGCTATCTTACTGCCTCTGCTATGTTTAGGGGTAAGATGAGCACCAAGGAAGTTGATGAACAGATGATCAATGTCCAGAACAAGAACTCTTCATACTTTGTTGAATGGATCCCCAACAATGTGAAATCTACAGTCTGTGACATTCCTCCAACTGGGTTGAAAATGGCGTCTACTTTCATTGGTAATTCAACATCGATCCAGGAGATGTTCCGCCGTGTAAGTGAGCAGTTTACAGCTATGTTTAGGAGGAAGGCTTTCTTGCATTGGTACACTGGTGAGGGTATGGATGAGATGGAGTTCACTGAAGCTGAAAGTAACATGAATGATCTGGTTTCTGAGTATCAGCAATACCAAGATGCTACGGCTGAAGACGATGATTACTATGAAGACGAAGACGTTGCTGACCATGATGAATGAAGAATGTGTGGTGCTTGGGATTATCAGTTGCCAGTCTCTGGCAATGCATTGGGGTGATTTAGCCTTAATCATTTCTCATTAATGTAGAATTAAGGCTGGGGCCATAATATCATCGTCAATTATGATTTGCTTTTACTTTTTGGTTCTTGATTGTGTCGGCTGGATAATGGAACATGAAGAATATCATTTACATATGCTCGTATAATTTGTTGTGTTGAAAATTTTCAGTTGAATATATTTCAGATTATAAGCTTTTCCATCTCAGATTATTGTTCTGTTTTTGTTGAAGCATTACATATGCTAATTGAGTAATTCCTTGGGGGTTGCCTTATCTAACTTCACAATGAATGTGAATTTGAATTGAATCTGAAACAGGCTTGTCGTTGTAGAATACAAAGGTTTAATGCTTTGCATCTCTAAAAATGTTCTTAAACTTAAATTTAGGCCCTTGCAATTCTCAGGTGACAAAAAGCAGTGGACCAATGTCGGTCCCTTCTGCTGCAATGCAACATGTAGTGTGGGGGATGCCATTTTTTTAAATGGCAATCCACACCAAACACCAATCCTATTTGCTGGCTCCAGCGGGAGTAGGAAAAAAGTGGCATTAATTTCTTGGTTAGCCTGTCCATCTCTTGAACTGATTGAGAAACCCCTGCGAGTTGAACAGCAAAACCTGAGTTGACCATGTTTTCATCTCCATACGAAATGAAATGGGAATCAGATCCCACCTCCCAAATAATGCAAAAGGGATTCTTGCAGGGATGCCCTTGGTTTTCTTCAATTTGTCATCATATTGCCCACAAGCTTATCAATGACATATGAAAGATTATAACATATGGCCTATTGATTGAGTATATGACTCAACTGCTTTTTCAAATGGTAGGATGTGAAGCCAGTCCTTATTTGGCTATCTGGATGCAAATATTCACATATCTTCAGGTCTATGTTATAATTAAATTCCATCAGCTTAATGTAGCAGTAAACCATAGTAGATAGTACTAGAAATGATGTAGAGAAGTATAACCTCAAAAGTCGTATGCCACTAAACACACTTAGTACAAGGCAACTTGCTTATAACGGCCCAAACCCACCACTGGCATAATAGACTTTTGATCCCAAATGGTGCAGGACAGAATGGTCCTGCTTTCACCTGCTCACACGATCATCATTTAATAAATTGCACTAGTTGACCGTTTAAATTAGAGCTTAACTCATTGTATAACCACAGGCTGTAATCTTATTTTGAAACTAGCACAGAATTGATTTCAGACGGTGAAGCACGGGGAGAAACATTCAAACACCCAGGTAAAATATGTAAACATTAAAATAAAGTTCTTTGACAAGCAGAAACCATCCTTTTTCATGTTACAAACCTCCAAAAGTGAGGCAGACGAATACACTTACATGTAAACAAAAAGTGGCTGAAGGGACCGCACATGCAACCGGTTTGGGTTTGGTAAGCTTTTGGTGATATTAAAAAAACAGGCACGCAAGGGTCGCCAACTTGCAGTCTCAAGGAGACAAAAATAGAAAATGCAGGTACACCTCACCTTGATTCAGATTAATAACGGTGTGGAGATGAGATTGGGGAGGTAGATGACGATGCTTAAAAGCTCCAGCAAATTCTTCCAACATCAACCGATCTAACCTTTTATTTTTACACCTACAAACAGGTTGATAATCATACTTCATGCACAGACAATACATGATCACATTCATAACTCCATGAAGGCAAGGTAACCCTTCTAAATAATAATTGAAAAACTACCTAAAAACATGCACCCAAATGTGATGTATAAAAATGAATTCTCTGATCAGCAAGAAATCAAATTTCTAAAAATGAAACTTTCTTCCTGGCATAGTTCAAGAAATCAGCTATTGAACTCAGAGATTCGGCTCTCCAAAGCCAATCATTTAGCACATCAAATTTCTAAGAATGGCCCAGTCAATTGATGCCTATTAAAAGTTTGGGCCACGTTAAATGTTCCTCTTCAATTTATTAAGCTATTCGTACATGCTAAAGCAATAGCGATCATTTGCGCCTTGAATCCAATGCTTATTACCCTATTCTCCCTATACATGCTTGAGGCCGAGCAATATAAAACTGACAGTATAGTCAAATAGCCTAAGACAGCTTAAAAACAAAAATATATATGTAACAATTCATTGTGCAATCAGGTAGATTGTGCCTCCAAAGAAGTCATCGGAGACGATTACTAATTAAAGTGGTGATGAGTGTCAGAACCATACTAAGAAGAGCGTATGTTGTGACTCCCATTTGCAGACAAGAATAGTGGGGGCACATGAGTGTTGCCTGTCGGGCTATATTAAGGGTCGAGAAAGAGAAGTGTCATGATGTAACCGAGAATGACGGTACATCATCTAGCACACCAAGAAGAGTGTGCAAAATTGTCAAGCTAGGGTACAAAGAAGAACATAAGCAACAATGTTGTCATGGTCGTTGGAGACAAACTCAATAAGGGCCAGATGAGACCTCTTTTGTCGTGAGTTTTGACAAGTGACTCTGGAATTAAGTTTGTATTAAGTAAAACTCACTAAAATTGGCATCTATCGAACACTAGATGAACGTTCCACAATCGCATGACTCCTCCCCATTTTGATGTGCATGGGTATCATATCAAATATGACTTAGAATGTGCTATAGGGGGAGACGGTTAGGTTTGATTTAGATTTGATTTAGTTATTTGAATTATATTTGATTCAGATTTCCTTGTTTTCAATATATTATGTAACGCTATATAATAGTCAATTTCATTCAATAGAAAGTGAGATTTCTCCCAATTCTTCTGATCTTTCCAGTTTCCTCTCTATTCTTAACATTTGGTAGTCATGCCCTAAACTTAAGATAAAACTAAAAATAGCAGTCTTCTAGGTGTGTCATAATAAAAGTATGTCTATGTGCAGCCTGCAATTTCGAAATTTGATGGGCTACTATCATCATTGGGCGATGCTCATGGAAAACTTTTTGCGTGTTCAAAAGAGTACTGGGGTTTGGTGGAGAACGAGATTCCTGCCGCAACAGAAGATATCGTTTTCACAGATGCCCAGAAGAACATTGAAGATCAGAAGTTGAAAATTTTGAAAGCAAAGAATTATCTATTTCAAGCATTAGATCGTTCGATCTTGGAGACAATTCTCAACAAGGATACAACAAAGAACATATGGGATTTTATGAAGTAGAAATATCAAGGTTCGACATGGGTAAAGCGTGCACATTTACAAGCTCTTTTGAAGGAGTTTGAAATGTTTCACATGAAGGCAGGAGAATCTGTGAATGAGTATTTTGCTTGGACCCTTAGCATAGCCAACAAGATGAAACTAAATATAAAGGAAATGTTGAAGTAGTTGAAAGGATTCTGAGATCTATGACTCCCAAATTTGTTTATATTGTGTGTTCCATTGAGGAGTCCAAAGATACAACCATCTTAACCATTGATGAGTTGCAAAGAAGCCTGCTTGTGCATGAACAACACATGAGTTCTCATGTTGAAGAAGGAATATTGAGAAGGAATATTGAGAAGATATGTGGTTCCTTGACTCGGGATATAGCAATCATATGTGTGGGAAGAAGGAATATTTTTCAGATTCACTGAATCAACAACTCAAGCATGGTTGTAACAGGAAAGGGTAATGTATGGCTGCAAGTGAATGGAATCATACTAATAATCATAGGAGTGTTCTATGTGCCAAAGCTAAAGAACAATTTGTTGAGTATTGAGAAATTGCAAGCAAAGGGGCTTACCATTTTGTTTCTTAATGGAACGTGCAAGGTGTTTCATCCTGAGAGATGCTTAATCATGGAGATAAAGATGTCTTCGAATCGAATGTTCGTACTGCATGCTATATCTCAGCCTGTAGCATCCACTTGTTTCAATAAAATCACAAAAGATATTGAGCAACTTTGTCACTATAGATATGGATATTTGGGCTTTAAGGGATTAAAGACTCTTCAGCAAAAGAAGATGGTGGATGGTTTACCACAGCTCAAGTCTCCATTGAGACTGTGTAAAAATTGTTTGGTGGGTAGGCAACAAAGGCACTCGTTTCCAAAAAGGAGCACATGGTGAGCTTCAGAAATTCTCCAATTGGTGCATGCTGATATTTGTGGACCGATCAAACCCATCTCAAACAGCAAGAAAAGGTACTTGATTACTTTCATAGATGACTTCAGCAGAAAAACATGGGTTTATTTCTTAATAGAAAAATCAGAATCCTTTGTTGTATTTAAAAACTTTAAGATTCATGTTGAGAATAAAACAAACTCATTTTTTAAAGCCTTACGAACGGATCGAGGAGGAGAGTTTACATCACAAGAATTCACCAATTTTTGTGATGAAAATGGCATACAAAGACAACTGATAGCTGCATACACGCCACAACAAACGGAGTTGTGGAATGAAAAAAATAGAACTATTATGAATATGGTTCATAGTATGATTTCAGAAAAGAAAATTCCGAAAAGTTTTTGGCCTGAAGCAATCAACTGGACTGTGCATGTACTGAATCGAAGTCCAACATTGGTTGTCAAAAATAAAACTCTAGAAAAAGCTTGGCGTGGAGTCAAACCTTCAATTGAGCATTTTAGAGTTTTTGGATGTATCTCTCATGTTCATGTGCCTGACAGTAAAAGAACTAAGTTGGATGATACGAGTTTGAGTTGTGTTTTGCTAGGAGTTTGTGAAAAGTCAAAGGCTTACAGACTCTATGATCCAACTTCACAAGATGTTGTATTCGAGGAAGATAAGAGTTGGGACTAGGATAAGACCTTGAAGAATCCATTATGTGCGATCTGGAATGGGGTGATCAAAGGGAGGCAGCAGATGTGTGTGATGAAAATGAAGCAAATCTGATATAAAAGCTGCAAAGGAAAATATTTCCTCTGGCTCTTTAGCTAAAGCAAGCTCTCCTAGCTCGAATAAGGGGAGGAATAGGAGACCACCAGTATGGATGAGAGACTATGCAACAGGAGAAGATCTTGCTGAAGAAGATAATGAAGCTCACTAGGTCATGTCTACCACTATAGATCTTGAAAACTTTGAAAACGCATTGAAGAGTAAGAAATGGAGGCAAGCCATGGATCTGGAAATGGAAGCAATAAACAGAAATGACACATGGAAATTGATGGAGTTACCTAAGGGCAGAAAGAAGGTTGGAGTAAAATGGATTTATAAGACGAAATTCAATGAAAATGGGGAAGTCGACAAATACAAGGCTAGGCTTGTTTTCAATGTATTCTGTAACGCTATATAATAGCCAATTTCATTCTTCAATAGAAAGTGAGATTTCTCCCAATTCTTCTGATCTTTCCAATTTTCTCTCGGTTCTTAACATAGACATGGTGTTGGTTCTCTACCACCTCTAGGCCTCATGGTCTAAGTGAGTCGACCTCATGATTTGTCAAGGCGTGGGCAAGCCTTTTAGTGTCTTGGGCATCTTCTTTCAAAAATGAGATTCCAAAGATAGTGTTAGGTAGTATAGATGTGCCAACATTGCACCGGCCCCCAAAAGTCAAAGGTTGCGATATAAGGCTAGGCTTTAACATGATGAGCAAAAATGTCTCGACATGGACAAAGAAAAGTTCATCCTCAATAGCCAAATAGATGGATGTCCAAGAGGTCTCGAATATGAAGATAACTCAAGAGTCAGTTCTCGAAAAGCATGTATGAGTGAGCAGCAAAGACACGTGACATTTGATGCTTGGGAGGGTATCATGAAGCGTCAGTGAGACTTGGTAGTTCCCGGTTGGCAAGGTATTTGCTTGTTATGCCTTGATAAGCATTATAAATGCCCAATAAGTTTTGGTTTGCATAGTTGTGTTCCTAGTAAGTATTATAATTCCACGGTAGCCCCAACAAGTGCTAATATCACTTGGTAAGCTTCATGAGCATTCTAACGTTGTTTTGATCCAATCAAGGTTCAAACATATCCCGGTGAAGTTGCAAATCGATACAGCAAGGTGTGGATCATGTAGTTAAGGACTAAGATGATGAAATATGACGTGGTGTTCCATTGAAGGACCTTGGTTTAGAGTAGAGGCAAGTCAGCTAGAATTGGGAAGGAACACAAGTGACATGATTACCAAGTAAGGTAGAGTTGAACATGAAGTGAAGTTTGGTAAAGAATGAAAGAACTTTGTCTAAGATCCAACTAAGCCACAAAGAAGAGTGAAAAAGGTATATTGGGACTTGAGTTTCCTTTAAGACTGACCATGATCATGTGTAAATCATATCATCGCAGGGTTGAAATAGCAACAACTTCATTTAAATCTTAGATCTTATAATTGAGCACCAACCTATTATTCATCGGGATATTAGTTTATATAAGAAGGAAATGACTTAAACATCCAAAAACATAAAAACTTATCATTAAAAGGGCGTTCCCATTAACATCATTTCCTACTTTTCCAAATCCCTAAGATAGTATAGCTCGTAGAGCTCCTCTCCCAAAAATAGTAAAGCTCGCACAGTTCCTCTTAGAGAGCTCCGCGATTCAGTTTATACAGATCAAGAAGACAGATTATGATCCAAATTTCCGTTTCATCCTCCTATTCTGCCTGAATAAATGAAAACTGAGGTAAAATTTGAATATCTGAATTAGAACCAAGGAGTTGATCATGCTAACTAGCCGAGAGATCTTCAATGTCTTTCCTTATCATTGTTTGTTCTTCAAAATCACTTAAAACTATGCACTGCAGCAATTGACTCAGATTTTGCAATCTTTCTGCAGCAAGTTTTGTCCAACTTCAAATTGCAATGCATGAAACCCGTCGATTACTTAAAAAACTATCTAAAAGTTTATTGGAGTATTTAACACGTTTACCCAAATGTATTTATCTTAAAGAAAGCAAATAAATCTAGGTCTTTATTTGGATTGGAGGTGTACAAATTGTAAAGAATTGAAGATGATAACAGAGGCTCTCAACAGAGAGCATTGTTGCCTTCAATTGTATTTACGATAGGATAGTACATGAGAATTGTTGGGAGGGAGTCTCACATTGCCTAATTTAGAGAATGATCGTGAGTTTATAAATAAGGAACACATCTCCATTGGTATGAGGCCTTTTAGGAAAATCAAAACCATGAGAGCTTATACTCAAAAGTGGACAATATCATACCATTGTGGAGATTCATGGTTCCTAACATAGTTTCAGAGTCATGCCCTTAACTTATTCATGTCAATAGAATCCTCAAATGTTGAACAAAGAAGTTGTGAGCCTTGAAGGTGTAGTCAAAGAGTGACTCAAGTGTCAAACAAAAAGTGTACTTTGTTTGAGGGCTCCAGAGAAAGGAGTCGAGCCTCAATTAAGGGGAGGCTATTCGAGGGTTCTATAGGTCTCAGGGGAGGCTCTATGACGTACTTTGTTCGAGGGGAGGATTGTTAAGGATGGTTGGGAGGGAGTCCCACATTGGTTATTTAAGAGGATCATCATGGATTTATAAGTAAGGAATACATCTCCATTGCTATGTGGCTTTTCGGGGAAACCAAAAGCAAAACCATGAGAGCTTATACTCAAAGTGGACATTATCATACCATTGTGGAGATTCGTGGTTTCTAACATTACAACCATCTTTCTTGCTACTAATGTGACAAAGAACAAGAAAAATAAATCTTTTCTAGAAAGGAAAGTGTAAAAACAGAGTAAATACACAGGTAGAAGAATGGCTTAACTTATAAGAGAAACTGTAAAACGTATCCTATCACAAGGTAATAAAAAACCCCTTAGAATATAGGATTCGGAAGAAGTAGCTACGAAATTTTATACTTGAGCTCCAATGGTCTCTTGCCTATTAACATAAAGTCTCTTAGATTAGTAATAGAGGATTGGAGAGTGTGAGAGAGCCTTCTTTCGAAAGTGTCATCTCTTTCTACTTTTTGTAACCAGATTTCTCTCTGTCCAATTGTTTGCCTGAGTTTTATGCTTACCCGAACTGACATGGTTCCTAATTTTCAGAAACAAGTAACACAACGTGCATTTTCCACATACCGAAAGTGAATCAAGCTACAAGTCCATTCCAAACATCGATTCACTGAATGGCCAAAACTAAAAAGGCACTCCCCACTCACTCATCCGCCAAACAAGTCATATACGATTTCACTAAACTCAATAACATTAATGATTTCATAATGACCAAGAGTGGAAAGTTGAACTATGTAGATTTTACAAATAATTCGCGAACTTTCTAACCTCTTGACAGACTTCGAGATTCTGAACCAAAAACACGAATGTCTCTCCAAACACGTCTCCTCCGCCTCATCGCTCGGTTTAGTGACTGATTCTCCCTCTATTCACTTGTCTCTGCACCTACATCCCGCAGATGTAACGTCGAAATGAATATCGGCTAAGAGTTTACCACGCAAGCAGAGGATGATAGAAGATGAGGTTCCAGATATGGATGAGTAGCAACAATGAGGAAGAACTCGACGGCTGGAGCCGCGACCTGGTACTCCATCTGGCGCCAAGAACGATTCAATTGCCCAATACAGTGCTGGGTGGCCTTTTCTTGGCGTCTTCGAGTTACCGCGCATTGGATCATTATAGTGGCGGCTATGGGCCGCCCCGCTGCTGGGCTTCGATCATGGGGCAACTGGACTAAATAGCCACATAACCCTTTTAAAAAAAAGTAGATTGTTATTATTTTTGTTCTCAAAATTTGACCGCGGCCGATGGCGGGAAGGGGCTGAAGGCGGGTGTAAATAACCGCCCGTTCACGCTACCCGCAAAAAAAGTTCAAAATCTCCCGCGTTTTCCATTGCCCCTTTAAATCACTTCTTCTTCCCTCCGATTTGGATCTTACGAAAATCTCCCATTCCCTTTCCCTCCGATTCCAATCGCCGATCCTCACTTTCTTTCTCGGCTTCTTCAATCTGCATCTCCAACCTCGAGCTTCTGTANCCTTTCGCGGTTCTCTTGTTTCTTCCCCTTCAACGACAATGGGGAAGCAAACCAAATCCAGAAAATCTGAGAGCGCTAGCAAGGGGACTGCCAACGTTACCCCTATGCAGGTCGCCTTCATTGTTGATAGATATCTCTCCGACAACAATTACGCCGAATCGCGCTCTGTTTTTAGAGTAGAAGCTTCCTCACTCATTGCAAACTCTCCGATCCAAGAGGTACCTGTTTTTTCCTTTTTTTTGAGATCTGGGATTTTCCCGCCATTAGTTAGTTTTTGTTTTTTCTTCCCCTAGTCGTCACATGAGTTTTAATTCTTTTGGTTTTCAGGCTCCGAAGAGCTTGCTGAGCTTAGAGGCTATGTTGGATGAATACATCTGTTTGAAAGAACAAAGGGTGATTCTAGATCAAGAAAGAATCTATCTAGAACAAGAGAAGATTCGCGTTCACACTCTTCTACAGGGTATGCAGACTGTCATGAGTGCTTATAATGTCAGTGGAAGGTCCTCAGCGCCGTCGATTTCAGCTGCTCCAGATAAAGTTGCAGCTGTTAGTCAATCTGGTCCTTCTGAATCTCCTACAGGTACTGTCCTAAATCTTTCTGGATTAGAAGAAACATATATTTTCTGTGATACCGACAAATCATCAGGGCTAGACCCCTCTTAAATTGGCTTACTCAATTGCCATAGTACCGGATAGAGAAAATTAATGATCTCTGAGCTCTTTAGGAGTAAAATCCTGCGTTTATCTTATACTTGCATCATCAACTTAGACTGCAATCCAGTTCTTGGTAGTAGCATGTAGTTCTTCGCTTTTCCTGGAAATATGGGAGACTGGGTTTCTCCACAATTTTTCTTAGTCGTTATAAGTAAATTTCTTAGCAGCATTTTGAAATATTTCTGAGCGTTTGCAACTTCTGGTGCATTACATACATAGTTGAACGGTCTGAAAATGTTAGTATTTGGCGTTTGGTAAGGTTATTGTAAGTTCAAGAGTTTTATGTAAAGGGTTTTGAGATTTACTGCTTTCAGGTATCCCCGTAAACATTAAACAACCTGTTCGTTCAGAGGTCACACCTCAGAATACAAATGGCGGGCCTCAAAGTTTCACAACTCCCGTTATTACTGGCACAGAAGCAAGTAAAAGAAAGAGCTCCATGACTTCCACTTCTGTTCCTCCAGCTGCTAAGAGATCTCGAAATAAATTATCTTCCAGGAAATCAGCAAGCAAAGGCAAGCTTTCTCTACTAAATGTTTGTGCTATTATATGATTGATTGAGGCGCATCTGTTTTCAATCATATCTAATATAATTCATGTCCGTTACAGATACTGATGCACTTTCCCAATCAACTGAAGCTGCCAATGTTCAGTCAAGGATTCAGCATTCTAACGAAATTCAGTCATCATCTCCTAGCTGCCCTCCCAATGAATCTGTAGTTCAAGGATCAAGTGTTGTAAAATGTTTGTTCAACCACCAGCCTTCATTCTCTATTCCAACTAACTCTTCTGGTCCGAAGACACCTCCTCGTGCAAATTCCTGTCAAAGTGACAAGTCTACATCTCCACTTGAGATTTCTTCTGCTGCTGATTGCAGTAACAACAATACTCCACAAGACGTTAGTCCTACTTGTTGCACTGTAATTTCATCAAAAAGGGTTACGATCAGTCCTTATAAGCAAGTAGCTTACTATTCTGTGGAGAGGAACCATAGCATTTTATCTCCCTCCCCTGTCAAGACAAACGCTAAAAGGCTTGGTAAGAGAGACCACGTGAAGGGACGGCTAGACTTTGATGTTTCAGATGTACCCATGAGTTCTGACAAGGGGATTGAAAATGAAATTTATGTAACCGAATCAGAAAAGCAGCTAGACATTTTTGACATAGATTTGCCTTGTCTAGATGTTTTTGGAGAAGATTTCTCTTTCAATGAAATGTTGGCTGATTGGGATATGGATTGTGAAGTAACTGGTTGTTCATCCGTCCCAACCTTGGGTGCTTCAACAGACACTCTTTCAGGGTAATTCTTTGCTCACCACGCTGCAATTTCCACTCGCTACTTTCTAGCTCTTATTCTGATAATTTGTTCAGTGTTTTTCTCTCCCAGTTCTCATGAATCAATGGACTGTTACGTGGAGACTAATCAGATGATGTCAGAATATTCATCTACGGTGACACAAATTTTATCTGGAAAAGAGACAAACACAGAAGGTAATGCAGTTCATCTTCTAAACCTCGTGAAGTTCCATTGAGCAATGTGCAGGTTTATGAGCAAATTTTACTAATGCAGGCATTGATTCATTAACTACTGTGAAGTCCACAACAAAATGCATAAGAATTTTAAGCCCAGGTAAAAACTCATTTGCAACTTCTTCTCGCGCATTATATGGTGATAATTAAATTGTGCATAGTTAAATCTTTGTCCTTCGATATTGCTTGCAGCCAAAAAATTGTAGTTACCCAAGTTTGTGATCAAGATAATTATGCTGCTTCTTCAAGAAACTTACTCTTAACCCAAGGAAATAATCATGTTTTCAGTTCAACAAGTTGTTTGGTAAGTTTAAATTACCATTCATCTGTAGGCATTCAAGTCAAAATTTCTGATCAATCCCCTCCTCTTTAGTCATTCTTTTTCCCTCTCTGATGCTGGAAATATTGATGCAATGATTTGTATATGCAAGATTAATTTTCTGATGTTGACTTTCTAGATTTTGACATGAGTTGTAAATTTCTAGATGGAATCCTTGGTAACATTTCAGTAGATGCAACATGTATCTTAGGACATTTCTTTGGTATCTCCCGAACTGTCAAGATAAGGCATTGTTATCAGGATTCTCCGTTGTAAAGAAACATTGACGTTGAGAATTGTTGGAAGACAAGTCTGGAGTTGATTATAAATTTATAAGTAAGAAATATATTTTCATTCAAAAGTTCAAAATAGATATCCTACCATGGTCGTGATTCTCCATTCAAAGCCCATTCGTTTGTAATATTAAATAATAATACCAGGAATGCAAATTGTCCTTACTGGCTGCCCATCATCCAATTTCCAAGTCAACTATCCTTTTTGTTTATAGCTTTAAGTTGGAAGTCTAAGCCTTAATTCCTTTAAAATATTAAACCATTCCTAATTAATGGTTTAATATTTTAATTCCACAAGTTAAATGAATCTCAATCATATATAATTTATTAATAAAATTGAGCAAGTGACATAATTTTAAATTTTAAATTTCGGTTTTTTAACCTAGGTGACTTAATTTCAATATTTTCTACTTGATATCTTATAAATTATATATTATTTAAAAATAATAATAATATGAAATGAAATCATAATTAGATGCAAATTATTTTATCCCTTTTAGATTTTTCCTAATCTAATATCTTGTTTCCATTTTAATGCAAAAACTATTTAAATCAAAACTTGATTATACTATATAAGTTAATTGATTATAACAATTAAACCAACCAAATATATTATTATTGAAAGTATATTAGACGATAACGCTATTTATTTCTATATTCTCAACAATATTATTATTAAGTATTTGTTATTTATGAGCATAACTTTAATCATAAGGAATGAAAATTCCCTTTTAAAGTTCAATGCCTTCTCCACAATTATTAAATTAAAATAATAATAATATAATGTTCTTGTTAACAATTATATTCCTTGAAAAATTTGGTTCTATTTTGAATTTAAATTGCAAGAAAATGTTTTAGCGTTAAATTTCAATTACATATAAAGTCAAAATAGTTGGAAAAAAATATATATGTTAGGTTTTAGTATTTTGTATAGCAAATTCTAGTTTGTAGGTTAAAGAAAAGCTTATATTTATTATAAACAACTTATAATTTTTATTTGAAAATAAATGAATAAATACCATTAAAATGGAACTCAAACTAAACCTCTCCCCGACTTGTTTTCAAAACTTATTTACATTCATACATAGAAAGCATCATATTATTGTGGAGGTTCGTTATTTCTAACATGGTATCAGAGTTATGTCTCTATATTAACTTAACCATGTTAGTATCCGCCTTGTGAGGTTCATTATTTATAACATAGGAGCCCTCTTCACCCTCCACCTAAGCTGCGGAGGAAAGGCCCAAAGCCAATCCCAAAGAACCGCGAAGCTTTATAGGGTGTTTTTGTCCAAGTGCAGGTAGTCCGCATCTTCACAAGACATGTCTATTTCACCGAACCTCTCTCCGAGACAGTGCCCAGATCGTTATGTCTTTCGTGCCGGTCGGAACATACCCGACAAAAAATTTCACTACCTTATGCTCTTACCTTTAACTTAATTATATGTTAACTTGATTATATGTTAGTTAAAAATAAAGTTAATTGTGTTTTGGATTGAAAGAAAAGAATATGAAACTGAAATCCCACACACACGAAGCTTCTTCAATAGGGAAGGAAAGAGGTGGCGACTTGGTACAGACCCAAAATACACGGCTCTGTTAGGCGTCAACCAACAAAATTGAGTTCCAAAACGTGTCCTTTTAATCTAGGCTTAGTGTGCAGCAGCTGCAGCCGAAGCTCCGTTGAGAAGCCGGCATGGGTGTCTGAATTGGGTCTCTATTTATAGGCTTTGTGTCGTTGGATTGCAAGAACAAGAGCCTCAATCTCTCCCCTTTTCTCTCAACTTCTCTTCATATATTACTCCACAAACACCTCTTTCATCTCTAATCCACCACCAATTTCCTCTCCGTTCTTTCAATTCCTCGCCCCATTTCTTCTTACCCATAAAACAGCTTCTCATGGCTATCTCCAACAAATTTCCTTGCCTTCTCTTCCTCTCCTCTCTTTTTGTCTCTGCCGCGCTTGGTGCGTAGCCATCTAACCCACTTTCTATATGGGTTTGGTTTGGTTTGGTTTGGTTTGACGGTGTTTGTTGTGGTGCAGGGGATCTTGTTTGCGAGGAATTGTCGGTGGATGTGTGCGCATTTTCAATAGCTTCATCGGGGAAGAGATGTTTGTTGGAGACGGCAGAGACGAAAGATGGGAAGATTGAATATCAATGCAGAACGTCTGAGGTGATAGTGGAATGGATGGCGGAGTTCATAGAGACAGATAAATGCATCAAGGCTTGTGGGGTGGATCGGAACTCGGTCGGAATTGCCTCCGATGCACTCCTCGAGCCACTCTTCACCGCCAAGCTTTGCTCCCCTGCCTGCTACCAGAAATGCCCCAACATTGTTGACCTTTACTTCAACATGGCCGCAGGAGAGGGTAACCCATAACCCAAAATTCCCAATCTCTTAACTTCACAACAAAATTCCCAATCTAATGCCTATTCAATTCATGTCATTGCAGGAGTGTTCTTGCCCGACCTTTGCACCAGACAACGCACAAACCCCCACCGTGCCATGGCAGAACTGCTGAGCTCCAGTGCTGCTGCTGCTTCTGCTGCTGGCGGTCCAGTGTCATCGGAAAATACCCCTGGATTCTTCCCCACAGCTGATGCCCCAGCTCCGATGTGAAGACGACGTTGATTTATTGTTTGGTTGGTGATTGATTGATTGATTGTATCTTCATTGTCATTTTCCTAGAACAGCTGAGAGGAAATAGATGGGTGATTTTCTTTGGATTTCACATTTACTTTCCATACCATTATATTGTATACCTCTTTTTCCTTTGTTCTGCTTTTCAATATTCCCATACACACACTTAGTTTTACTCTATATTTCTCCTTAATAAAAGTATTATTGTTACCTTACTGTGTTCTCCTCGACCAATTTTGTAGTTGCATACCGCAACAGCCCAAAGACACCGTTAACAACTCAGGGCCTACGAGAGAGAGGCTTCCACACACGTATAAAACATGTTCCGTTCCTCTCTCCAACATACATATGTTCTCACCATCCACATTCACCCCTTTAGCCCAATAATGACTTTGATACCATTTATAACAAATCAAGTCCACTGTTATCTCAAAAGTGACTGAAGTGTCCGAATAATGAGTGTACTTTGTTTGAGGGCTCTAGAAAAGGAGTTGAGCCTAGACTAAAAAGAGACTGTTTGAGGGTTCTATAAGCCTCACAGATGGTTCTATAGTGTACCTTGTTGAAGGGGATGATTGTTGAGAGTCCCATATTAACTTAATTGAGCGGAAGATCCTAAGTTTATAAGTAAATAATATCATCTCTATTGGTACAGAGACATTTTGTGGAAATCAAAAATAAAGTAACGAGCGAGCGTTTATGTTCAAGATGGACAATATATGTATTATTTATTAAAGTATTTAAATTGATTTCTAACAAAAACAAATGTGTCATTTATTAAAGTATTTAAATTACAAGAATTTATTTCTCATCAAACAAGTTAAAAGCTGTATTTTATGTTCTTTAATGATTCTGTATTAATGGTCAAGGTCAACAACATTTTTAAGAGTTTGACCAAATCAAAGTCCACGTGTCTGGATTTTTGACTGGTTCCCAATTGATTCAACTTGCGCGTAACACAATTGAGCTTTTAGTCATAAAAGAAAATAAATAAAGCTAACATGGAATTGGGCCATCATATGGGCTTACTTAAATTGGGTAGGCCCAATACAAAATAAAGGGACCAGGACTTTATAGGGGATATTTCAAATTATATAATAATTTCCATCTAAAATGAGAAAACCCCACACTATATTGAAATAATTAGTCAGCCAACAAAATAATAATAATAATAATAATAATAATAATAATAATAATAATAATTTCGTTATTGAAGATTAGGTTAGCGACAAATTATGTAAAAGCATCGCATAATAATTATTTGATCTTGAAAAAATTATTAAATGTACTTGCCTTATTAATAAATTTTCGAAAAATGTGAAATATATTTATATTAATTTTAAAAAATAAAAAATAATTTGGTTATTAGTGTGGTCCACGGTGGGTCAACTTCTTTCTTCTACAACAATTGACAACCCAATATGCAATAAGAATAGAATAATCGCTCCTTATTCCAAGGGAAAAGGGTGAAAATAATTAATAATTAATAATTAATAAAATTGTCTAGACGTCGCGTGCACACGTCGTTTGAAAATGTGGACCACCTTTGTTTTGTTTTGGGCCCTGCGGAATAAGCGGCCCACCTTTGTTTTGATTTTGTGGCAATTGTTTTCAGTACTGAGCGAGTCAAGTCAATTTAAGATTGTGTCACCTATGACGTAATGTATGCTCAAACCTCTGATCCCATTAGAAAAACAATGTTATATGAATACAAGCAAAAAGCAACACAACGACTTAAATAACATATAAATTTTTTGGTACGGAAAATTTGACAACTAGTCGCATCTCTATATAGTACATTTTGAGGCGATTTATGTATGACAGACCTAAACGTCATACAAAATTTAGATGGGAGGGGTTGACAATAGGTCACCTATACATCACGACAAGGATTTTGATAATATAATGGACGTGAAGCCGTGGACAACACATCTTAGACAAGCATAATCGTAGCAGACAACATTCATTAGATTAGATTAGATTGATATGGGGAGTAGGTTGTGGGATACTCAAACATTCCCCATACAATAATAGTGTATGGTTGTTTACACTTAAGACAAAATGTGAATCATAAGTTTTCTCCTACAAATTACTGTCATTGCGACACGTGGCAGAGACCCAGTCAATGATTTGATGAATGGAATCAGATAAAGAGAAGAAGAAAGAAAAAGAAAGGGTTTTGGTAAGGCCGCAAAGCAGAGAAGAATAGCCCTTGGCTTTGGCTTTGCCTTTGGCTTTGCCTTTGGCTTTGCCTTTGCCTTTGCCTTCGCCTTTGTCTTCGGGTTGGGTAACAAAATTAAATAAAAAATAAATAAATAATAACACACAGCCTTTTTTTACTTTCCACATCGAACTTGCAGCTTCCTCGTTAAGTTATCATCCATTTTCTCAACTTTAATCATTAATATCTCTTTCCATACTAAAATTTGTAACAATTTAACAAAGTTTTATAAATATAATGATTTAATCTTTGAATTTATAAATTTGAAAGAAATGGGTGAGTGTGTCACTTCTAATCCATCGCCCACCATGAACATGTTTGATGAAAATGAAAGCATTTGCATTACTAAGAACATAGATTCGAGTGTAATGTAATGTAATGTGATGTAGCTAAGCTATCAGATCTTCCAGAAACTTTTTCTTTTTCTTTTTCTTTTTCTTTTTCAATTTTTCAATTTGTGTTGTCCCCCCCACCCCCACCTCTTTTCTTTTTCATCTCTGTAATTTCCTCTGAATTCTCTGCGCACCCATTGCACGTTTCTGTTCTTCTTTCCTTACTTCCGTTCAAGCGCCCAACATTAGCTCAGACCACTGTCTGCCGGACCATTGTTTCCACCCTTTACCAAATCCTCCATTGTTTTATTCCAACAGAACCATGAATTCCTTTCTAACTTCCTCTTCGTTCTTTAAAGCGCTCCCAATTCTATATTGCGAGCTTTAATTAATGGAGTTGAAGGGTTGTTACCAAATCCAATACCCACTTCTTTAAATCCCCAATTTCTTCCTAAATATTGGAGGAATTAATTGGAGCCCTCGAGTGTTTTAGTTCTCTGATATGTGCGTGGGGTTTAGTAGAAGTGATTGTGTGATAGTTTTAGCTTGTGGGTTACGAAAATGGCGCCTCCAGAAGTTTCCCAGTCCGACATTGATCTGGAGCAAGGGGATCATCGGCGGTCTGTTAGTGGTAGTGAGTTGAGCGCCGATTGTAGCGTCTATTTCTCTGACGCCGATGAGGGTTCTTGTTATTCCCAGTTTTATTCCACCAACGGTGGTTCTTACGATGAGTATAGGTTTGCTTTCGTTTCTCAGCCGGGGGTTGGGGTGGTTGTTTCGGATTCTCGGCGGCTTTCATCGGCTTCGGATCGTTCGGTCGAGGTTGAAAATGAGATTGGGATTACTGAAATTAAGGTGCATTTAGGTAAGGTTGAGAGGGATTGCAGGATTTGTCATCTGGGTTTGGAGAGTAATAGCCAAGAATCTGGAATCCCAATCGAATTGGGTTGTTCTTGCAAGGATGATCTGGCTGCGGCTCACAAGCATTGTGCTGAAACCTGGTTCAAAATCAAAGGCAATAAGTGAGTTAAATCCCTGTTTTTATAAGCAAGTTTTGATGTTTTTTTTCCATGAATTCTGATCATTCTTCACTCATGCTATGCCATGTCATGCTTCATAGTTCTTTGAGTTCATGTTTTCAGATTATGTTCTTGCTGCTGTTCTTGTGATAAGCATCTTCTGTGATATTCTGGTGAATTTGGTACTTAAACCTTTACCATTTTGAGCTTGAGGTTGCGGACACAAGGATGCTTGCTTAGAGACACAAAAGGAAATAAGAGTAAAACATAAGAAAGACGTTTATTTATCTCCAAGCAAGTTACACTGATTATTCCTTCTTCCTTCTCCCTTTTCTGATGCCTTAGGAATCTCTCTTTCTCCCAAATTGTTTAGTCACTGTGAGCTCTTTTAGATCCTTACTCTCATCAACTAATATCAAAAGATGTGCATTCAGGGAGAGAGGAATAACTGGGTCTTGAACCAAGTATTTTAGTAATGGTTGAAGGTGAATTGGGGGACTTGATGGTTTGGCATTTGCTGTCTTACATGATAGGTTTACACCTTGTGATTGTTGTGTGATCGTTCTTTACTTTCTGTTTGATGCTCGAAAATGGACCGAGGCATTTGCATTGTTCCTTTGGCCACTTTGTTTATTCATAATCTTCTTAAATCTTATTAGGACGTGTGAGATTTGTCATTCGGTTGCACGAAACATTCTGGGACCAAATGAAGTTGAGTCAACAGAGCAATCTAATGAATCCAACAACGCCTCTTCAACGACTGCGGTTGCTGCATCGATTCCGTCATCAGATAGCCCAAGCTTCTGGCGTGGCCATCGGTTTCTGAACTTTCTACTTGCTTGTATGGTTTTTGCATTTGTTATATCTTGGCTCTTTCACTTCAACGTGCCCTCATAAACGCACCCCGTAAAGCGAGTAGTATCGAAACAGAGGGGAAATCCAGATCAAGGAACTTGCAGGATTTGCTGCTGCAAAAGACCCTCCAGAGAGCTGCCTTCAGAGAGTCCATAACTTCATATAGATTATCATCCTATACACATGTACCATTCCCCACATTCCCCACAGAAGTTTTTTCACTGCCCTTTATTCAATTCCAAGTTATAGAGAAATTTGGTGTGTAGTCAATCAAGAACATGCTTGATGATTCTGAGTATTTCAATGAGCATCATCTTTCTTTATACTTGTTTCTTCTGCTCTATTGATATCTTGTTAAAGTATTTGGTTTTTGAGCGTTGATTATGGCTCTGTGCTTTCTCAAGGTCTCATTTTAACACATTCAAAATGGGTGAAGAGGCCAAATATATGATGACAGCAATAAATGGTGTGGAATTTAAGAGGTTTTTGTTCATGTTCTTAAATGAAGAGCAGACGTTTTCGTTGTGGACCAAAATAAAACACATGTATCATTGTGTCGGGGAAGAAGATGGGACCTTCCTGCTGTCAAGTACAAACAAGAATCTGTCAGTAAAACTTGTCAAAATAAGCCGCGAAGGGCAGCCCTTTTATTGCAACTTCGACAGCTACGAATCTGTGCAACTAAAGTGGCTTTATTTGCGACTTCTTTGTTGACACTGTTCTTGTTGAAAGCAACAGATGTTTCTTTCAAACTTCCCTCCACCATCTTCGATAACAATAATAGAAAATCCGATCTTGACTCGTCTTTGTTCCAATTATGTGTCGTAAAAATATGTCTCGAGAGGTTAAGATTCTTAATTCGAAATAGACCTGCATGCATTCACATTTTTCTTCTTAAAAGACACGTTCTTGCTCTTAAATTCAGCAAATAGACGAGCAAGAACTTGTTTCAATATGACCACCTTGTGTTCGCATCGAACGGAGGTACGAATATCAGTAGCTAGGGAGAGGCAAGTTCCTTACTGATAAGGACTCAGATAGAATCTTCTGCAGAGGTGGACATTGACTCAGGCGCTTTCAAGTGAAATATCATTGAAAATGACTTTTAAAGGTCTGGTCTATGTACACAAACTTTTGGATGAGAATCTAATGGAGCAAGAAGATGAACAAGCAATGAGCTAAACCAACATGAAAGAGACAGACACAGACACATTAGTTGACCTGGGAAATTCTCATTTCATGTGCTCCCCCATATGACAGTTCACAACAAGGGAAGTGAAAAATTCAAAAGAATCTAAACCAATGAACTACGTTAGGCGACATTAACTCCTTGACCAAACTAAGAGAAGAGATGAGGATCATGTCCTCTAACTTCCTGCCTAAATGAATGCCAAATTCAAACGGCAATTTCCAGAAACAATAAACAAAGGGAATGGTAAGAAAGTGAATCTAAGAACTGCATTTCCCAATAAGATAGGATAGGATACATAATAGATTACCAGTCTTGGGAAAAGGAGCGAACCACACGCAAGGAAAGCCATTAGTCTACATTGTAAGAAATAAACAACAATCCTCCCCACAAGCAGCAGCAGGAGCAGCGCAGCAGCTGTGTTGTTGTTGGTGCTAGGCCCCATTTATGGTGGTATTAACATGGACAGCGTTCCCATCTTCAGGAATCTTGCCATTTACTTGAGTCCTCTGCCTCTGAACAAGGAACAAAGCACATGTTAGATGAAGTCAGATAAAGAAGAGTGGTTTTAGAATCCCAACTCCAAAAGAGAAAACAACTATTCATCATCTACCCTATCAGTGGGGTCTACAGAGTTCCCATTCAACAGCTTGTGACTCTCATCTCGGGTCTTCGTATCTCTCTCTTTGCTGCTCAATGGTAACAATGCTGCCCCATTTGTTCGATCAGGCAATTCTGCAAAAGAAAACCTTGATACATGAGATTTAACTTTATACAGGATGCCACATCAGGACGTCGATATATCGATGATAAACAAAAACTAACCTGGCAGTTTCTTGTCGACGAAAAATACCACCAAATTAACAGTATACCTACAGAGAAGTGACCGGTTTGTGATAAAGGAAGTAAGATCTGAACAAGAACAAATCAGTCTTACCATGCAACCACAACGTCGACGGTGTAATGTTTGCGAGATGCTATAATCAACAAACTCTGAATCACAGCAAACAACCACGCCAAATGCTTTATAAACCTGTAGTAAGGAACAAAATTAATTGGTCTCCATGCAACATTACAAGCTATGCATAGGCGCAATATACTGATTCACATTCCAACCAAGACTGAAGGGTGTATTAACCAAGGATAAATATACCTTTGTGTGCCATATTTCTGATAACTCCGCACAAAAACAAGAGTGAAGATCATGTGTGATGAAAAAATCAAATCACCACAGCCGTATAATACTCCCCTAACTGCATTGAACCCGAAAAGTCTTTACTCGTAAAAATGTTCAGATTTGAAGGGAAGACAAAAAGGCAGAATATGAAGACTATTGACCATGAAGCAAAAGTGTGATGTGCAATAGACTATGGAGATGCTTACAATTCATCAATAGAACTTCATAGGCATTATCTGGAGGAGGCAATGTGGCAAGTCTTGAACCCTGTATAATGCAGCCAGAGTTGGTTGATTATCCCGTTCAAACAATCATTGAACAAATTTAGGAGTAAAGATTTAGGAATTATCCCTCATAGAAAGGAAAGTGAACAACACAGAAGAAAAAAAGAACAATTAGTATGTGACTTGCAAAGGAAACCAAACCATATAGAACACACTTTTTCAAGACAAATACCTCACGACAATGATAGTTTGGACCAGGCAGCTGTGTGGAATAGAATGTTAAGATACGAAGAATTTGACAAGCCTGATGAAAACAGATTGAATCAGAACAGGGGATGCAAAAATTTGTAATGTTTTTAAAGTAAGATAACCAAATAACAAATTGGGTATGATAAATAAATGAATACTCACAACTAAAAATGCTAGAACCCTGCACCATAAAAGAACTGTATACACCTTTTTGCTCTTGAGAATAAAAGGGTGGAAAGACCACTGCAATTATTTTATTCCAAAGATTCTATTAGTACAAAATCAGAGCCGCACATAAGAACAGAAGAATCTTCTGATGAAACCCTTAGCTCAGAGTGATGAGTATATTAAATTGTTCAAGACACCGTACTTAATCGAAGACGAACAAGAAAGGCCTATCCATCACTAACAGAAGTAGGGAAATAAACAAGGCTAAAACAATGTATCAGAATTTCCTTTCTGCAAATGGAGTATTTGGACTGGAAAATTGATTCCAAACTCCATTGGTAAGAGATTTCAATTTCCAAGGACATTCATCACATTTGCTCAGCAAAGAGAGAAGGATTATGCAATGTTAGCAGTAGAAACTAAATAACAATATAAAGAACATATCACTTACCGCAACAAAGGATAAAAATATGAATGTGAAAAGAGTCTCACTGAGGTAAGCTTTGTCTTGTCCTAACTCCTACATATAAAAACTCATGTACTTAAACAATAGTAAATAAGAATAATAATAATAGTAGTAGTAGAAGAAGAAAATAAGGATGGGGAAAGGTTTAGGGATGAGAAAGATCAATACTGACAGGGAGAAGGAAGAACCCAACATCCTGAAGAATTGGACCTGGCCGATGTATGTAATGAACGCCATGAGCAGCAACTCCATGTATGTACTGATGAGAAGAAAGAAGCAGAAAGATTACATAAATGAGAAGACAACAAAGACAAAAATCATATAACTGAGATGACCAAAGTATTAAGATCCTAGAATTAGAATAATGTATCTGTTTTGTCACAATCGCACTTTTCTTGGCAGCGGAGTTTGCGATTGTGTCGCCTACGGCTGGACAACGTATGCTCTAGCCTTTGGCCCCGTTTGAGAAGAAGGTTTTAGAAAATGGGGCAGACCGAGATTTTTGAAAGCAAGTTTGAGATCTTTGAAAGCTAAGTTTGAAAGTAAAATAAGAGAAGATTTAAAAGCAACAAGGCAACACAACGGCTTAAATAACATATAACTTTTCGGATAGGAAAATCCAAGAAACTGCCTAAACCAGTTAGCTAGTGCAAACATGGGTGAATGGACATTTACTACAATTCTGAACCATGGACAAAGTATCAGCTAATTCTACCTCCAAACATAAAAAGAAATATACCAAATACCATGGAACTTTGGGTGTTCCACAAAACAACTAGAATTATGCATAAAAGGCAACCACATATTTGAGTCATTGATTAAAAAAAGGTTCTATTTGCAAAAGAAAAATAAAGTTCAGTTGTCACCTCTGCTTTGGATTTACTCGATGTATATCAGATGGGAAACTTTATTCAACTTTAAAAAATGAGACAAGTTACGTGTTCAAACATCACCAGTTCCAATGCTCGGTTGCATGAGAAACAAATCATGTAGATACATCAAAGCATTAAATCAATTCGAATTAAGAAGGAAAGGGGTGGGTAAACAAAGCCAATATCTCCAAAAACTCGCATCCATATAAAGGATCTGGTCTTCTCCTAATTCTTTTAATGTTGATCTTAGCGAATAAGCTTTCCATGGGGAAGGAGATGAGTGGGCGAGGGCCCACAAACAAGGTGAACAACAGTTTTCAAAGGAGAAGAATAAAAAGTAAAATGGCTTTATTACGAAGATTATTCATAGAAATGGATGGAAACGAATACCTGAAAGATAAGCCCACCAAGAAGGTACTTCCAATTCTCAATCAGAAGGCTGATCTCCGTACTAATCTCTGCGCAGAATCTTTTCCATAGCTTCTCACCAGGAAGAACAACGCATGAAAAAGATGAACATAGCATTTAGAAAGAAGGAACAGAGGTAGAGAGGTTCACAAATTTGTATTAAGAAAACCAACCAACCAACCAACCTTCGATGCTTCGCGACCAATGTAAAGATTCATCTTGAATGCGCGTAACAACCACTTCCATATTACTTCAAAGCCAAACTATGAAGAACAACATCGCGCACTTCAATATCTTGCCAACAATCCATAAAACCAATCTCAACCCAGAAAAAGAAATCCCTCAAAAAATCAAATCAGACCCCCAAATTCAAACAAAATTACGGTCAAAATGGGGAAAAATCAAACCCAAATGCCGCCTCCGAAAAACCCAGATTCAAAAGGAAGATCCAGTTCAAACTGAAGCACCCCAGTCCACAATTGCAATGGAGAATCAAAGGGGAAGCGATCAAAGAGAAATTAAGCAACAACACAATACAAGGAAAAAAAGAGAATCGAAAACGAAAGAGACCCTTTGGATTGTTAGTATCTGTAAGTGTTGCAGAGGGATTGTTTCTTTGGAAGATGCTAGAGAAATTGATCGAAGAAGAAGAAGAAGAAGAGGGTAAAGGGAAAGGCTGCTCTGTTACTACAAAAACAAAGAATATGAAAGATTTGCCGTTTTGGGTCTGACCTCTTCCACTACTTCCATTTCTCCGCTGAACAAAATTAAATAACCCACGATCTGGGGGATCCCTCAAATTTAAAACCCAAATTTAGGGGCACTTCTACAATTCTTCTTTAATTTATTTCTTAAAAAAAAAAAAAAAAAAACTAAGTAATTAGTATCATCAATAATCAAAATGGAAGCATATATTATATTCTCCCAAAGTTCTGTCTTTTGAGAAAAGGGAGAACTTAATTGCTTTTGGTGGCACATTCAACGTGACACTATTATCTTCATCCCCCCTAAGTTTGGGGTTACATAATAATGAATTATTCCAAAATTTCTATTCATTTTCCCCAAATTATCAAACATATTTTGATTAAATATGTTGCTTGACTTGCAATAAAGTATCAATTTTTCATGATACCCCTAATGTCACATTAAATTAACTATGCTTCATGGTTCATTATGACAGTCTAAATTACAAGAAATTGGATGGAAAATGGAAGTTTCAAAGTTGGAGCCCACGAAAGCTTCAGCCAGCGTGGAGATGGGATTATATCATGGGCCCATCCTCTTTTTACTAAATAAACAAATAAATATGTTTTCCAATATTTTCTTTTTAAAAGACTCAAATTTAAATATTAAATGAAGAGAAAATGTAAGAAGATTTCATTTAATGGGTGCCTTTTTGTAAGTAGGCACAAGCCCCATAATCGTGTAGGGTGGGTGAGGTGAGCTGAAGGGGCGAAGAAGAATCACAGCCACAAAATCAAAACCTAAACCAATTAAAAGAGGATTTCATTTTTTGAATAACGAACCATTTTTGCTTATAAGGGTACGTAAATCTCTCCCTAGCATATCAATTTTAAAATCCTAAAGCTGACATCAATATGTAACGGGTCAAAATGGACTATATCTACTAACGATAGGTTTTGGGTCATTACAAATGATATCAGGTCCAAACACAGAACGCTCACACCAAAGGAGGTGAAATGTGAGATCTCACGTCACCCCACATTTTTCTAAAAGTATGGAAACCTTTCTTTATAACATTCTTATAAGAGTTTGTGGGGTTGGATGATGGAAGTCCCACATGAGCTAATTTAGGGAATGATCATGAGTTCATAATCAAGGAACGCTGTCTCCATTAGAATGAGGCTTTTTGGGAAACTCAAAGCAAAGTTATGAGAGCTACTACTCAAAGTAGACAATATCATACCATTGTGGAGAGTCGTGTTCATTTAACACACGACACATCCTTCGGTGTATGACTATGATATCATTTTGAAATTAATTATTATAAATTTTATAGCCACTTTTGTAATATTGTCTAATATTTTCTTGCGACAATGAGCATGCTTTTTAGAATTTTGCAAGTAGCATTAAGTGATAATGTTTTTTATGCACATAAATGTCATTTTCGTAAACAACAATATGAGCTTTTTAAATTTTATTTTCAAATTTCAAATTCTTCTTTAACCAATTATCACATGTAGCTTCCCTCCATTGGGACGTTTACGAGCCCAAGAAGAGGCCCACCAGATGATATTGGGCCCAACTAATTGAATATCGCAAGCCCAGGTTCTAATTTATGGGCCTATTCCAATTGAGCCCATCTTTTCTTTTCTCAAGTTTCCTAAACTGCCCTCATCAGCACCATCAAAGGTCCAGTCCAGATCCAGTCCACTTCCTCTACAGCTCCTGAACACATTTTATCTTCGTTGCCAGACTCTCGGACCCTGAAACTTGATCTCTTTCGTGATTCTCAGCTGTTAAGAACCTTGTATACTGCAAGTTCCCTCGAGCATGGCGCTCCATACATCTAGTTTGTGCTGCAATGTGAGGACTGCTTCGCTTCTTTGATCTAATATGAATTTATTTTGTTCTTCTCTTTCTACTTTTCATCATTGATGTTATTTCAAGTGCATTAGCTTTACCTTCTGTAATTGATTTATATGTGTTCTTCATTGTAATGGATTGTCTCTCGGTTTAATTTTTATTTTATAAGCTGTATCTGGATCTGGATGTCAAATTTGAAATAGTTCGGTGATGTTGTGATTTTCTAGGGTTATGTTACCTTTATTAGCAATCGGAAGAACGTGCGTTGTTCCCAGAGTTGTGAGGTGTTTCATCATGTTCCTTCAGCTCTCCCTAAGCAATATGATATTGGCTTTGTTAAAGAATCTACAGGAGGATACGGATTTCTTTTTCCTTCTATTCCTCGTTGTTTGGGTTCAACAATTGGAAATTTCAGTAAGTTTCATCGAATTTTTTTCCATTTCCATGAGCTCTGATCTACTGCGTTTTAAATTTGTTTGAGTTTCCATTACTTTTTTGAAATATGCATTTTCGAGCTAGTGCAATGTATCTCTAATATAAGAATGGATAGACATACAGATATACAAAGAATTTTGTATAATTGACTTTGAATCTTGCTCCAATTTCGTCAGTAAATCAGCATTTTGGTAATATCTAGCGCAGGGCCCTGTAAACAATCTACTAGGATGCTATCGTTTCGACCTTGTCAACTGAAAGCCGAGAACTCGAGCGGTGAAAGCATTACACTCGATGCAGAAACCTTGAAGCAGGACCTGCAAAATGCCATTGCAGATGAAGACTACGCCAGAGCTGCAGAGATCAGAGATACCTTGAAAGCTCTTCAAGAGGACAGCAAAGCTTCAGTATTTGCAGCCAATGCTAAGTTCTACGAATCATTTCGGAACGGGGATCTTGCAGCAATGCAAACTCTTTGGGCACGAGGAGACAGCGTCTGCTGCGTGCACCCAGGCATGAGGGGGATATTGGGATACGACAATGTTATGACCAGTTGGGAGTATGTATGGGCAAATTATGAGTTCCCACTGGAGATTCAGCTCAAGGATGTTGAAGTTCATGCTAGAGGGGATGTTGGATATGTTACATGTGTGGAATTGGTGAAGACGAAAGGTAGCAGTTGGGGGGGACAGTTTGTTACCAACGTGTTTGAGAGAATTAATGGTCAATGGTTCATCTGTATTCACCATGCCTCACCTATAGATTTGTAATATAGAAACATTCAAATGCTTTAAGAAGATTCATGTCTCAGTTCGCGGTGTCATTGTGCTTGCCATAATTTTAATGTTTGCCATTATCAAAATCGACCCACTAATCCAGAGTATTAGTTCAGAAACTAAACTTGTAATTTAGGGAAGGAAAAAGTTGTGTAACAATGTCTAATATCTCCGCTCTATATATGCTCAGATGTTATTTTCTTTATACAAGGATAGTAGCGCAAAATTACTTGGTCGCTTGTCCAAGGCACTACAGACTATTCAAAATGGAGGATGAACGGTAAAGAAGGGACAATATTCAGCTCCATTGCAAAGGAAGAATCTTCAGTTGCTTGGAAGTAACAAAGAGCAGACTGGTTATACCCTTCCAACGGGAGAGAGAGGTGGGTTTGAGGCATATCTAATGCTAGCAAGCTGTTTTTCACGGACTGTGTCAATTCCATTAGAATTGGGAAACTTCATCACTTTTTCCTCGGGTGCAAACTTGCTTGCTTCTGAGGGATCTTCTGGTTTCTGCCCATTTAATACTGCAACACAGATGAAAAACGCCTGTAACATAGAGATCGAAGAATCGAAACGAACTTCAAAGAACCCACCCTTCAAGGGTGTCATACTGAACACGGGTTTATCTTCTTCGTCTCCCTGAAACAAAATGGACAGCCAGGATATTAATCGATGAAAGCGACGAAGTCAATAAAGTGTTCATAATCAATTCTTAAGTTTTACCTGCACATGAAGTTCGAGGCATTTGGTGATAGGACACGCCTTGGATGTAATTACTTTGTCCGGAATGGACAGTATACGCAGTTTGCAACCAACGTCCCAACCACCACAGTCACAAACTCCGCCTGATCTCCACCTATTGATCAATGGCGAAGGCTCACCGCTGCTTGGTGACCCATGAACAGCACCCGGAAGTATTATTACAGCATTATCCTCAGACAAAGACTTCATGCAGCTCTCTATCAAAACGTTACCACTTTGTCGCCCATCATGCTTCAAGTTTTCGGTAGGAATCTTTAGAACGATGGCTGCAAGTTCTCTGTTTTTCACTATGATTGCTGATTCACGATCTCCCGGCCTCATCTCAACACCAAACAGTACAGATTCTCTTAATATATATTTACCATTGTTGTGTTCATTCGATTTACAATCAGAATTCACTTTCATCTGCCCAATGACATTGTAGGCATAGCCATAACTTCTATCCCTATGCCCTGGTCGTATCCAACCACCGGTCTTTCTTTTTATTTCATTAACTAGGTAGAATGTATAGTTCTGCCCTGATTCATTCTTCCCAGACGGGGTTAAATCTTTAGCAGTGGCTGCAAGAATATTCCTGTTGTTATCCACCAATAATTTAAACAAGGGAAAACCATTCTTCATCGTAAACTGTAAGAGGGCTTGCATTGGGGACTCATTATGCTTCTTTTGGTGAGTGCTGCCAAGACCAGTTGGCCAAAGGCTTACAGAGTTGACGTTTCCTTCAATCGGATGGTGAGAATTTGAGGATTTATGCTTCAGTATTGGCTCTATCAGTCTTCTTAAAGGGCTAGACCTAGTTCTGTTATGTCCATTTACCTTCTTTCTATCTGAATTGTCTGAGCAACCAGCATTTTCAGAAATCACTGGACCAGATTTTGGAATAGTGTGCGTGGAACTTAACTGTGGTACAGTCGAGCTCTCCTTAAAACTGAAACTTCTCCCCATCCGTCCTAAGCTGAAGCTCAAACGACGAATTGGTGAAGGATGCCTACCTTTTCTAGCTCCTGAATCAGGGGTTTTATCATCCGATCTCTCAAGAGTATCAACAAGGTCGTCGGAATGGGTAGGCTTAATAAATGGGGACCCCTTTTCTATTTTTTTACCTCCAGAAGGACTTAAACTTGGCTTCTGATTTGAGTAAGGGGGAACTTGAGATGAAGAACATGAAAGTTCTGCAACAGTATCACAGATCATAGAATCTTGCATTCTGCCCCTCATGGGTTCAACGTCAGCTAAAGACGGCAACGGACATGAGTATGGAATGTCTGAACCACATTCAGAAGAGAGAATATCCTCTGGAGAAAATATCTCTGAATAAGTACACGAATTCACATCTGTCATGTTCTCGTCAAATGATGTTCTGGAATTGAAGGGCAGAAACCGTTCGTCTAAATCCTTTGGCTTCGGTTTAAGTAGGGGATTGACATCTTGCTGGTAATTGAAATAATTGTAAGGGAGATCAGTATCTGTACACTGCTTCCCCTCCCTCTTCTTTGTTTCATAATTTTCAGCATTAATATGATCCTTCGAAGCAAGTGATATGCCATAACTCGATTTTGATGGCCTCTCTCCTCTTCCTAAAACCATCTTCTCATTTGCTTCTTTTCTTTGGATATTTGTCTCAATGGGTTTCTCAATACTATTGTTCATCAAACCAGGTGATGTCTCAAAAGTCGATTTTGATGGTCTCTCTCCTATTCCTAAAACCATCCTCTCGTCTGATTTTTTCTGAATATTTGTTCCAATGGGCTTCTCTTTCCTATGATTTGTTTTGCCACCCAAAACATGTGTACTTTTAGGACAAGGCGACACTCCTGACTGTCTTATGGGAGAGGAAAAATCCACCATTTCTGAAATCATCTTCCGATCAGAACGCTTTGTCCTTTCTCTTTCATGCTCCATGTTTGAATCATTTCCCCCCGATGAGGATGATGTACAAGTCCTTTGTATTCTTTGCCGCCCCTTGATTGCACTCTTTGAACCACTATCAAAATCTAGGGAACGACTGGCATTCCGGACAGAGGTGACACAATGAGAACGCTCCTCCTTAAGTGATGGGATCAAACCAGACCGAAGTGAAGAGTGTGATTTATCTGATATTTCACTGTGAGTTAGACGAGGGAAAGTAGGCAGTCCAGTCGTCTGTTTTAATGATAAATTACTCCCACTGCACAGTGCATCATCTTTACCTTTGGTTGGACAACGCGTCTGTTTGTGTTTCCAATTCTCGAGTCGCGTCCAATCTAGAACCCCAACATTCAAAGCCTTCCCTTGGAGATTTTCACCTCTCTCTGCACGAAGGAGATAACCTGGCAAGTTCGACATATGCCTAACAAGCTCGTCTTCTCCAATTGAACTCCCTTCGACGCTCTTACCCTGCCAGTACATAGAAGATTTTTCCCGAGCAATGTTGGCACCCTTCGTTGACACAAAATATAAATCGGTGCGTGGTCGAGCAGAACCTTTCATCTTTAACTGCTCTTGTCCTGTTGGACATGGACACCGTTTTGATTGGGGCAACACGGCCACCTCCTTCCCAATCCTTGAGCTATGTCGATGGCTTGAACTCCTTCCGAGCTCCAAGCTGGATCCCATACTACAGCAAGCACTGAAAACTAGTACATTATTAAACGATGTCAGAAAGACCAGGATGATCAACCGTGCCTTATTTAACTTACAATTTCAGCTGCAAAACCAAATGGCACTAGTAGTTCTAAATTTAGTTATTTCAAAATGATTATTACCGTGAACATCCACAGTTTCCAAGGTTTTTTTTTATTTATTTATCAGAAACAGCATCCTCGCATACCTAACTCTCTCATCTACCTATAGATAATCCAACAAAAAATTGGTCATATTTTCCCCTAGTTCACCCCTTATGTTACCACATTGAGCAATCTTTTAAGATTTAAACAAAAATAGAGCACATGAATTGAAGTCAAAGCAGGAAAGTTCACAGATCTAAGGATCTCCCCAACTCTTATACAAATTGCTAGCAGCTTCAGAAATCGAAGTAAACAAAAATCTGCATGACGAAAAGGAAAAGAAAAAAGAGAAGAGAGAGAGGACGGCAGTTTCTTCCAGATAAAGACAAAAAACCTGAAATAATTTACTAAGTCAGTGAGCAAACATTGCTATTTCTAGAGAAATAAGAGAAATGGCGAATGTCACTATTATCAATCAACCTCAAGCCAAAACCAACCCGCAAAAGAAAGCAAAACATTCTCAATCCTTCAGCCTGCAATTCCTCCACAACAAACAAAACAGATCGCAGCAAGAAAGAAAGCAGAATCAAAATGTAGCATGGAGAAAGAGTAATAGACATACCTACAGAAATCCAGTAAAATGCAGGCTCATAAGAGGTATAGGGAATAGGATCACGCGAAACTCATCGATCCCGATGAAGATCCGAAGCGTGATTACGACTGAACGTTAAACAGAGAAAGAAGAGAAAAATAAAAAGAAAGAATAAAAATCTGGTAATATGCTGTGGATTATAAGCAAAGCAAGGAATTACAGCAGCAGTGAAGAAAGAAAGATAAAGAGAGAAACTGAAGCGGCAATGAATTTACCATTCTTCTCGGTTTCCGTCCGTTCCCTCTGCTCGATGCCGGAGAAGAGAAGAAGAAAAGTCAGCAATTGCAGAGACAAAAACAAATACAGAAAATCAGAACTAAAAAGTCTCCATCTCTGGACTCTGAGAGTGAGAGAGAGAAGTTTCAGAATGGAAGAAAGAGAGAGAGAAATGAAACGCACCGTTTTCCTTTTATTTCATCCCATCAAACGGTGGAAAAGGAAACCTGCTAGGCTACGGGTTCACCCACTATCGCCGGTCACACTCATTCAGGGATTAGTGGGACCCATTTCTTTATCACGAATCCCTAAGCCCAATGGGCCCTACCGATGACGTCAGCAGCTCTTACCTATTGGTGCTTTCGTCCATTAAAGCCCAAGTCGCTATCTGCTTTGTGGACTAAACATTTGTTCTTTTCTTCTTCTTCTTCTTTTATTTATTTATTTATTTTATAATTAAATTATAATTTTATTGTTCTTTATTATTTAATTAATGGGCTAATTATGATCTTAAACTGTCCCTCAAAGATATAATTAGCATGCGATTAGTTTGTAATGCTTAAAAGGACGTTTTCTAAAAATAAATAAAATAAAATAAAAAAAAATAAAATAAAAAAGAGGGGGAAAAAAAGTGGTCAAACGGCGGAGCACTTGTCTTTCTATACCGCTCTTTAAGCAACAAAATCTCTTTAAATTATTAAAGTTTATTCCTTCCTCCCCTCCCCACTACTTTTTAAATCTCTCATCTTAAATTTTTAAAACCATAATCAGACATATGTTAATCAAATTAATTAAAAAATAAGCCAAAAAACCTGTTTTTATTATTATTATTATTTTAATAATTGATTGAATTATTGTCACATTAAAAATATCAAACTATTGAGAAATTTTAAATGTATTTCCCTCGTGTCGCGAGAATCTTTCTCTGTTTCCTTCTTTGTCCTTTGCCAGTTCAATTTATTCTCCCTATTTTTTGCACTTTCACACTTTCACTCTCTGCCCTTTTTGGTACAAATTTTGAAATATATGCCATTTATTTATGAATTATATAAAAAAATGCTTTTCAACTTTTTTTTCTTTTATTCCAAAAATATTTATTTTACTCTCAAACTGGATACAATAGTTTGACTTTTAAATTCTGAAACTGTTTGGTTGGTTTAATTAGATTTAAACTCTCAATTAAGTTCTTAGCTGTAGTTAATTAGACCATAAATATTTGTAATTAATTCTTATTAATTTAGTTAATTCAGGAAATTTCAAAAGGCTTTTCTAAAATTAAATGACATGGGCCGCGTGACATAAACCTAGAAGATTCACAGCCCATCGGCCCACGCAAACTTTACTGCCAGGCCCATATGAATATAAGAACCTGAACCATCTTCTTTTCTTCTGAGGTTGAGGTTGAGGTTGAGGATGGTGAGTCCCAGTTAACTAATTTAGAGAATGATTATGGGTTTATAAATGAGAAATACTATCTCTATTGGTACGAGGCCTTTTGAGAATCTGAAAGCAAAATGATTCAAAATATTCAAAATGAAGTTTCCCCAAATGAAGAGACAAGGGTCGACTACAGTGCATCTCCCAGTGCATCCACTGCAACGCAAAGTGTATCAAATTCATTATCTTCAGCATCACTGAACAGTTATTCTTCTATTGAAGAACTTTCGGATGAGACACCTCCAAGGAAGTATAAATCTTTAGCTGACATATATGCATCTATGTCAATTATGAAGAAGCAACTGAAAAAGAAGACGGGAAGAAAGCCATGGCAGTAGAGATGTAGTCCGTTAAGAAAAATGGAACATGGGATATGGTTGACCTACAAACGAAAAGTTTTATGGAGATTTACAAGAAGAGGTTTATATAACACCACCAGAGGAATTCATAAAGGAAGACAAAAAAACAAAGGTATACAAGCTGAGATAGACATTGTACGGATTAAAGCAGATATATTTAGGAAGGACTTACCAAAAGAAAAACTTTATACTTGACATCTACAACTTTGAATCAAATGGGACTGTTGAGATATGATGGAAAATATTCAAAATGAATGGATATGATTTAAAGTAATTGAGATATGATTCAAATATTCAAACTATTAAGATTTTAGGACATTTTTACATGATTTACTATTTCTGGTAGAGTGTATATGCTATAAATTCGGTAATTATGCAACCCTCTAATCATCAAGTTAGTAGACTATCATTTTTTTCCAACACAGCTTATGTTCAAATGGAACAATATCATACCACTCCCGTAAAAACCTCAAATGTTTTTCCGCCTCAGTGCCATTGGCAAAATTCTCTACCAACATATCTGGAATCCATTACAAGAGATCAACGCTGAAATGGAGTCCCGCAAGTCACCTCCGGAACAATATGAGAGAACAGATTCAGGAATTGACTTGATCGAGCCACATTTAAAAAGGAAAAATTCACAGAATAATTCAAGTTATTGCGACTTCCACCAACAATCGAATCAGTTCCGTTCCAGAAATCCTTACCTACTTTCCTGTAATCATCCTCCTCCTCCACCTATAAATTCAACTCCTAATCCGAACTTCACCTGGAAGCAAATCAGTAAGTCTTTCCACTACAAATTTCCTCCTATAACTCAACATTTGATCAGAAAATGTCGATCCGTTTCAACAACTTCTTCCCTACTGATCGCAAGGAACGCTACTGCGTTGAGGATCGCCCCTCAGGCGGCAAGTCCCCTGAGGATTGGAAAGGGCGCTACTACGTCGAGGATCGACGCTCGTTCGACAAATTCCCCGAGGAACAGAAAGAACGCTACTACATCAAGGATCGCAATTCTTACGATCAATTCCACGAGAAAGATGCCCTCGCCCGTCCCTTCCGTACCTCCATGGCTTCTAATTCCTCCGCCATGAACGCTCAGTTTGACTTCAAGGAGACTGCCGATGCGCACGTGTTGAGGCTAGAGCTTCCCGGAGTGAAAAAGCACGAAGTCAAACTGGAGATTGAAGACAATGGAGGCCTCTGTATCAGCACTGAAATTAGGGCTGAGAAAGAGGAGATAAGCGACATTTGGCGCCGTGTGGAACGAAGCAGCGGAAGATTGTACCGGCGTGTTGTTCTACCGGAGAGCGCCGACGTGGATAAGGTGAAAGCGGAAATGAATAACGGAATACTAACAGTTACAGTGCCCAAACACCATTTCAAGAAGCCGATCGCCCGAATCGTCCAAATCTCTGGCCATTAAAACCAACAAAAGTTTCAGTCCTACATTGCAACTGATAGAGATGAAGCCTACTAAAATTTTAAATAATAACGCTTTTATTTTATAATCTGAAAATATAATTTAAAAGAAATAATGTTATTACCACTATGTCCTCCTTTGTTTTACACACTAAGAAAATCAATAAAGGTTATATTTATTTTCTTTTCAATTTGGAGTGATCTTTTATTCAACTAAAAAAACAATAATAATATTTTCTATTAAAAAAACAAGCCTGATAAATTATATTATATTAAAGAAATCAAAATAATATTTATTTCATTTATTTATTTATTTTTATGACATTAAAGATTAATTTCATAAAAATAAATATGCTTTACGCTAGCCGCTGCTGTCTACCTCTGCAATTTAATCGTGTATTTGTAACGGCTCCTATATTTAAATAGTAAATTAAAGTAAATCACACATTTTACCAAAAAAATATTATATAAAAAAATTACACAAAATATAAAGAATTTAATTTTCTACTCCGATTGTTATGAGTGAGTCTCTTACTATTTTAGAACATGATTGTGGGTTAATAAGTAAAAAAATACATCGAACAAAAAATTGTGAGTCTCGACGGTGTAGTCAAAAGTGACTGAAGTGTCGAACAAAAGGTGTCTTTGTTCAAGGACTCCAAAGAAAAGAGTCGAGCCTCGATTAAAGGGAGTCTATTTGAGAGCTCCATAAATTTAATAGTGTACTTTGTTTGAGGGAAAGATTGTTAAAGATCATTAAGTAAAAAGGTGTAGGAAATGATTACGTGAATAGTTGTGATTTCTAGCCATATATTCGAAACTTTCGTTCCAGCAGTGAAGAAGATGTTATTTCGATCTGAACTTTGCGCAGGAGGATCGCTTCAAGGCGAGTCATGGAATCTGAATGACGTAGGCCTCAACTCCATTTACACGCGCACGTGTATTTCACACGCATTACTTTTGAATAGGCCTTGTCTAAACAACCGCAGTGAAGCACACGCGCTATTCCAGATTTTAAAAGCCCCCCGTGGTTTCGCCGAAAACAGTCCTCGTTCGAAAAAGTCTCGTAGTAAAGGAGCAATGATGGCTCTGAAAACGACGTCTCACCACAACCTCGGCGGCGTCCCGCCACCGGCGGTGGAGTCCAATCCCGCCAACACAAACAATGCCGGGAAGACGGTGGTGCATAAGACATTATACTGGGGCCATGATGCCCAAGTCCTGTTCACCGGCTGGCCCGGTACCAACTCCGCTATGTACGCATTGGCGGTGATTTTCGTGTTCGTTTTGGCGGTGTTCGTGGAATGGCTTACTTATTTAAACTTCATGAAGCAAAGCGCCGACAATGTGTTGACGGTGGTGCTGCAGAGCGCGATACACGCAGTACGTACTGGTTTGAAGTATATGGTGATGTTATCAGTGATGTCGTTCAACGGTGGGATCTTCCTGGCGGCGGTCGGTGGCCACGCAGTGGGCTTCGTTCTCTTCAGAGGCCGAGCCGAAAGAAAGGCGGAGTCAGATTCCCCCAAGCCCAATGGACCATTAACATTCTAATACGGGCCTAGCTCATGCGCACCTTTCCCTTTATTTTGCCTATCATATCAATAAATATAAATATATATTTAATTTCTTTAGAGGCTTTTTTATTTAGTGATTAAATTTGACACAATTTGAAGGGCGGTGAGATATTTGTGTAGGCAGGTAGGTCGGTCGGTGGAAATAGAGGGCGGGAAAGTCAAAAAGGAAGGAAGATGCGGAAAATTAAGGGGGAAGGCATTGTGATGGGATGGAATCGAGGACTTAAAAGACGAGGAGCGTGCGCGTAGATAGCCATCGGTAGTGCGCGCCATGTGCGGGTTCTTACGTGACAGATGACACTGCACGTCCCTCCACATTAACGCGTCCTTCAACCATCCACACGCCCCACTACGCCTCCCTCCACTACCTCCTCATTTTCTCACATTTTGGATTATTTTATAATATTTCGTTACTGGGTTAGCCTTAAATAAGCTCTTAAACACACATTTACTTTCTAAATTTGTTTAAATCTCGAATCAATGAATCAAAAATGAATGGTGAAAGATGGACATCTGCCACGTGGAAAAGCACGTGACACGTGTAGTGGAGGGTTGAAGAAGGGTGAAGGGGTAGGCAGGGCAGGTAAATGGGAGATTCTTCCGTCTTAAGCAAAGTATATTATTCTCTCCCAATCACACTCCTTATCCATCCACTTAATTTCAATTAACCAACGAAATTCCATGCTTTAACTAATAACTATGATTAACAGATGGTAATACAAAATTAATAAATACAGCAAATGGGGAGGGAGGGTGGACTTGTGAGAGTCCGAAAAAGGTGCCCCCCAAGGCCCCAGTGCAGCAGCACATGGGCTTTTATAGAATCTAGAATTAATTTCTTTTATTCACACAAAAAGAGGTGGAAAATACACCCTGATATCTGGATCCACCCTTGTTCTTCACTTTGACTGAGTGACCTCAGTCCCTCACCCAAACAAAAAATAAACTAACTAAATAACTTGCTGTAACTTCTTTTTTTCTATTCCTTCTCTAAATCTAACCACAAATATCATAATATCTTCATCTTTACCAATTCTGTACTGTGACGATCCCGAACTAACTTTCTATAGTGACGGTTTAGTTTCAGTAAGTCCATTCTTGGGGAAGCTTGATTTCATGCTCTGTTGCTGCCTGCCGACGGCTGTTGCGTTTTTGATAATTTGCACCGCGGTTGAATTGCAGCCTCAGGAGGACATCTACAACACAAAACAAGAGCATAACACCGAACTAATCAGATGGTGAGTGATTCCTGTGTTCAGAACAATTAGAGGGTGGATTCTACTTTACCGTTATCTGAATTGAATCGTCCGGCGGCAACGGGTTGAAGATGGGGTTGACTGCAAATGTCTTCGAGGTTAAGATTCAGGGCTTGCATCACTCTGGCAGGAACCAACACCGTAGGACAGTCTGTGGGTCGAAAAGGAAACTCGTGATTTAGTTTAATTCATTACCAAACATAAATTCGTGTAAAATTGGTGAGGTTGAAGAATTTAATGCCCTCTTCCTTTACCGAACTGTTTCTATATGGGCATAATTAAGCTTTTAGGAAGACGAAAGGAGAGGACGGACCTGGCTTTCTTCTCTGTTGAGAATGAGTGGCGGTATGGCGAGGCAAAAAGACACCAGTTCCAGCGCATTCCCTTTTGCCGCCTGGTGTTCCAACAAACAGAGACCTCGTACCGGAGCCTTGCGGCGGCTGACGCCATGGAGATGATGACAATCCCCGACCGCTCATCATTCCGTTATGAACTATTTGATGGATCTGTTGTTGTTGATACCCTGCATGATAATTTATCTGCTCAGCGACGGTCAGGTTTTGTCGCTGCATAATTTCCTTCTGTTGTAGATGCTGAAACTGCGAAAGAACATTGAATCCAATAATGAACCGAAATAGACGGCTAATTCAACAGAAACACAGATCTCAATTGAAAAATTAATTTAAATCGCATAAAGGAGTTGAGAGATTTACTTGCATAGCCTGCAACTGCTGGTAAAACCCGTTATCGGAGCTCGAGTTTTTCACCGGAAGAGAAACTTGAGGTGCTCCTCTATTTTGATGAACAACTCCATGATTCTCCGTCATTCGCATCCTCGCTACTTGCCCTGCAGCCGCATGCAGCAGATCCCATGTAGCCGGCGGAGATGGAACCTTACAATTACCTTTAGGACTTCCTCGACTAGAACCTTGACTACAGCCACTGCCACTCCCCATATCGCAAAGAGTCGACTGTGGAGATCCAGCCAAAACTATTTCCTAAAAAAAAAAAACCTAAAGATTAGACATAAAAGAAACAGAGCAACCATCAAAAATCAAATCGAATCAGCTTCGAGTTGAAACCTTAGCATTATCAGAATCGAGACCATCATCAACGGTGGAGCGAGCCATATGAAGAGTCAATCCAGCGACAAGATCTTCCAGATCACTCTCCGTTTCACTGGAACCCTTCAACGATTCAGTAGTAGAACTAAAATCCGAAAATCCACCAAAAGTCCCAAACTCAAGCGGAAACGACGGCCGTCCAGACTGAAAAGCAGTCGAACACAACGAGTTCCGGCCATTGTTCTTATTAGTAGCACAACTCTCTTGGTCGTCATGATCGTCAGAAAGAAACTGAGGAGGAAGCCAAAACTCGCCGTCGTCTAAACTCTCAGCCATGACCACCGACCAATTACAACACCAAATCGTTACAGTAAGGAGAAAGAAAGAGAGAAAACCTAGAAATTCTGAAACACAGAAGAGAATCGAAGAAGGTGAAGGGAGGCAGAGATTTAAAAGAAAGGGTTTCTTTATAGCAAAAAAAGGAAACGAATTTTTATAAAAAAAAAGGAAATAAAAATAAAAATAAAAATATATTCACATAATTAGAGGGGGCAAGGGCTGAGTGTCACTACGTGCACCTTCATTTGTAAAGCGTCCCTTCCACAAAGCTTGCGCCAGTTGTCGTTGGCGCCACTATTATTAAATTTTAAATTTTTTAAAAATAAATAATAAAAACCACTGGAACTGTCATGTAACGTGCAAATAGGCAGCAGCTCTGCGGGGTGAGGTTAGTGTACCCCACCTAACCGCTTTTACTTTTTACTTTTACATGACAGTTAAAACAAAAGAGTAAAACACATAATAAATTATTATCTTTATAAAATTTGTAATATCGATGACGTAAAACACTAATAAATTATTATCTTTATAAAATTTGTAATATCGATGACGGCGTACGTTAGCGTAGGTCAAAGAAAGTACAGATTCCAATCGAAACTGTAATTAATTGTGATGAATTTCATAAATAGGCTCCCAAAATTAAATATATTTTCATAAGAGGAAAATAGGCATAAGAATTTAATTTATAATAAATACATATTTATTTAAAAGGAAAGCGCATGAAATATACTTAAATCCCATTAGTAAATATTATTTACAGAAAATAAATGTAATTATTTTTATAAAATACTTAAATTACAAGCAACATACATAAAAGAGGAATCTTTTGGCCAGATGTCACGACCACACCGTGATTCTTCACGCAACCGAGTTTCCAATAAAGTGAATATGAAAAGGGAAAGGAAAATAAATATAAAATAAAATAGAAAAATAAATATAAAATAAAATAGAAAAATAAATATAAAATAAAATAGAAAAAGGAGGATCATTGGATTCGGTTTTAATCTTGGAAAGCGTACAAGAAATATATCATGATATTTTTTTTAACCCAAAGTACCAAAACTTACCTTATCAATTAATTTTGTATTTTATGTATATATGTTTATTATTTATTATATTTTATTTCTAGTTCCATCCTTGTCTTATTTGAGTTGTGGTCAATGACAACATTAATTAAACTACGTCGTCACCCACAACCCACATGTTCGGCCTCTCGTCATGTTATATTTTTATTCTTTTCTTCTAATTATTTTTTTTTAAATTCAAGTGGGAGTTTCGGCTAAAACGGTGGAAATTAAATGAAATACCCGCCGGAATTCGAGGGGATTAGTGGGTAATTTGACGTTTTGTAATTGGGTCGGGTCGGGTCGGTTCCGGGTTTTGGACTCGTGTGAAAAGTGAATATATTTCTGTCTTGCTGGCTTTCAACCATCACACATGAGGGATATCTTTAAAATATAAACAATTTCAAAATTTAATAAATATTTATAGCAATTAGATATGACTCGCTAATAGTACTATAGTCTTCTTCAAAATAAATAAATAATAATAAAATCGTTCCTGCAACGGACCAAGATATATAATGTTTACTAACGGTGGACTTAGATTGTTACAGATGGTATCATAATCAGTCGATATATTCATGAGTAGTGCTGTTAAACTTAGAGTAGATCATATCTATAATTAATCTACTTTTACTATGAATGAAGGAGAATCTATAATTTAGTAGTTTGTTATCATGTATAAGTCTCCCTATGTAATTCTCATTATACACATCTATAAATACACGAGTTAGTGACCCATATGAGTAACAATGTCATCATCGAACGAACACGTTTTAATCCAATTCCCAATTCATTTTGGCGTCATAGCGTGGTTTCAATTTACCACCAGTCAAACTATGTAGTACACCACCTACCATTTCATTAATTCAATATAATCTTAAATCCTCCTCTTCCTCCTCGCCGCTTTAATCAGCATCGATTTTCTCAAATCCCACCGACACTCGTCTTACAAATTAAATACTGTTATTTAAAAAACATTAAATTTATTCTGGTTTGGTTTCGAAGAATTTTGAGAGTGACGGTGGCCGACACATCGTACCATTGCGTTGTTACTTCTGTGTTTACTGCAATGATTGAACGTAGTTTTCAGATCTTCCTGGTCGCCGACATCAATGTCTATTACCGGATAACTCTCCTTTTCTTAATGGGCTCGGAAAGCCCATTCGTGCGATCAAATAATGGGCCGTAAAGGAACTTCCGTACAGTCGGCCTGCAACATGAAGCTGAGCCCACTTCACTTGTAAAAGCCCAATGTTGAGAAAAACTCAAGGGTATTACAGTCATTACGAGAAAGGACAGCACGAGAAGTTTCTGAGTAGATTCCTTTTGAGTTTGTCTCTCCAATCAAGGCATCTAAGAAATTAATTAGGAACTAAGCTCCATTTCCTGCACGTGATAAGCACGTGGATTACAACAATGAATTCCCAGATTTCCTTGCCGCGCTTGCCTCATTAGTTGCAGCCATTTTGAAGCAATCTGCAGGTCCACACAGAAGAAGAAGAAGAAGAAGCAATCCCAGAAAGCACAACAATGGTGAAGGATCGGAAGATCGGAGTGGCTCTGGATTTCTCCAACAGCAGCAAAAACGCTCTCAAATGGGCTATCGACAACTTAGCCGACAAAGGCGACATTCTTTACATCATCTACGTTAACCCTAAATCACTCGATCAATCCGCGCCTCAGCTCTCCGCTGAATCCGGCTCTCGTCAGTAGTCAGCCTAATCCTTCTTTGTTCTC